ACCAGGTCATTTTGTGTTAAACATAAGTCCAACTCATTATAAGTCCAATATTAAATATGTAATTAAATTTGATTTAATGAATTGCTCTTAGAGCCCAGATTCTCAACATCAAGTCCAATTTCACGACTTAACTCATTTATAATCTTATATAATAATAGATTTTAAGATAAAGTTTAAAATTAGATTAAATAATCAAACTAATTCTCAATTTATAGGTCATCAAAAAAAAAAAAAAAAGAAAAATAAAACGCAAATAGTTTGAATTTAAATATTTAAATTAATACATAATATAATAGCCTTTAAATTTAAGTTTTAGAACTTTCTTTTCTAGAAAAAGCTTAAAGTTTAAATATTTCCAGAAGGAAGAGGGGACACCTTGCCGTAAAATCCAAGAGTAAAACACAATTAAGAAGCAACTAATCTCACTTTTTATAATTATTTTTTCCTTTTTGTGAGTTGAAAAGTCGCAGTATGTACCGTACAATTATGTATACCAAGCACAAGTCAAAGAAATGAAAGCTTTTGGAGGTAAATTTGATTGTAAGATGTTTTTAATAGACTTATGGGAGACTATATTTATTGGTGTGATACTACATATCAATCCAAAATCTTTTTGAAATCCTTTCAAGCTCGAACCTTTTTTCTATGTAGGGCTTAAAATTTATGTTATCCCAAGTATAAGCCTTTTATTTCTTGGATTTGCGTCGAACAGATTCACGAAGGAGCAAAATATTTCTTCTAAAATATTTAAAAGAATTTCATACTCAATGTTTAAATTCAAAATCTCTAATTAAGGAAGAAATGATCATTGTCATTCACCATCAGGATTAAAAATTAACATTTAACTATGAATTAAAAAATAAAATATATTTTTATTAAGATTCCGTAAAAAAAACATTATTCTTTTATAAAAGGTGATATTATTTTTATAAAGATTAATGATTTAGTCACAGTGGTCATAAAAGGTAAATCAATTACAAAATAGAACGTGATTTTATCAAGATTCTACAAAAGACATAGTCTATTTTGTAAAAATTAATAATTTACAGATAGACATTCTAAATTCATCATAAAAGGTAAATCAATTACGGAATAAAATATATTTTTATCAAGATCACGTAAAAGACATCACTATTTCAAAATACATTATATATATATATATATATTTTTTTTAACAAGAGATTCTATAAAAAATATCACTATTTTGTAAAAAGTGATATTTTTTATAAAAATTATGATTCAGCCACAAATTTACAAAACAAATGTATTTTTATCAAGATTCCATAAAAGGCATCGCTATTTTATAAATGTAGATTTTCTATATAAGGGTTAATTTCCCAAAAAAAAAAAATTATCAAGATTCCATAAAAATTATTTATAAAAAAAATCTTATAATTATTATTAGCATCAATCAACAGTAAATCATAAATAAATACATCAATCATTTAAATCAGATACAGAACCAGTTACTCAGGCTAATATATGAACCAGTAGTCACCATAGCAGAGCACCCTCAAGGCCTCGCATATATTCAACGTCATAAGATAAGAGAGCTCATGTAACTTCACAGAAATTAGGACGTCCATTGCAAATTACCTTGACTATTTTTGTATTGTAGGAGAAGTAGCTAGAAGAGATCGACTGCTATCTCTTAATAAATGATTTATTGTGAAATTTTTTTTTAATTATTTTCTTTTCAAAAATAAATAAATAGCAATCAGCGGCCGCGTTTACGGTTGGCAGAGGCGGTGGATAACGATATGATCCACATGGATGGCAACTTCCAGCCGTTTCCGCCAGCGCTGCTCCTCCCCACCAACTGGCAGTACCACGTTATCATAAAGCAAAGGTCCACCAAAATATATGGCCCACTATCTTATCCAGGGAAGGGTTTTTGTTCCATACTGTTGCAAACTTGGAACGGAATATCTCATCCACATCTGCTTCCATTTTTTTCCAATTTTTCGTGTGGGCCACATTAAACAAGACTTCCTGTCTGGCGACTCAATAGAATCTATGAAAAAATAGAAAGAAAATCTATGTATAATCTGTAATAAAATATAAATAAAATGAGTAAACAGATGGCAATTAGTAGCTAACACTGTTAGAACAGGGTTGATAGCTATCCCAGTAACTAAGAGCTGCTGAGACTCTCTTTGGTAAGCTTTTCAATGTTTTATACTAACATTTTAAAGTTTAACATAAACCATCGCTGTGGTACACTTTAATGTTCAATGAATGATAGTAAATTATAGATTACTAAAATAATTAACAACTATTAAAATAACTATTAAAACAACTATTAAATTAATTAATTTGGTCAAACATAAACTAGATTTCAATTTGCGTACTAATTGTTTTAACTTTTTAAGACCTCGTTTGATTCAAAATAGCTAATTTTTCCGGAAGTATACTTCTCAGAAAGTACACTTCCAAAAAAATTATTTTTGAGTAAAATATAATTTGTGTGTGTTTGGTATGTAAATAAACTTCCAGTAAAGTAAATTGCTCTCAAACTATAAATTATAATAATATATGTAATATAAATTTGAGTGAATTTAAATAATAGAATAAATTGGTAATGCATTGCACTTAATTAGGGAAGTGCAATTTCTCATCCCATATCTAAGGAACTTACTTCCATTGTGTAAGGGAAGTTGGATGATCTACTTTCCAGAAAGTAGAATTGATAGTGCAAACTAAACACAAGCATTTTATGCATTTTTCAAAAAGTTCCACTTTCTTAGTCAATTTACCCCCAACCAAACATCACCGAAGTCATATTTAAGAAAATTAACTAATTTAGTAGTTGTTAACTATTGCAAAAACTATATTTTATTAGCATGTCATCAAATATTAAAATAAATAATGTTTATATTTTCTCCGTTTCAAAAATACAATTTATATTTTTTTTTTGTTTTGTCTCAAAATATAGTTTATTTTTCTTTTTTAGATTATAATTAATCCTTAAATTGTCTATTATACTCTTATTAAATTTTATCTTATTTTCAATGATTTTCATTAATTTTTATTTATTATTTCAATATAATATTGCTCATGTATTATTTAAGATGGACATAATAAAAAAATTATATAAATAAAATTATTTTTTAATTATAATAATAATTATTTTTTTAATTTGTATGAAAATAAAAATCGAATTGTTTCTTTGGAAGGAAGGAACACGGAACCGTAGTTTTTGACTAGACATTAACGGAGGGAACAGTAGTTTTTTAACTTTAGTCAAAACACTCGACTCCTATCTCAAAAGCTATTGTTGACTAGACATTAACGGTTGACAATCTAAGCTTTATCACTCAGGTTATGTATCATTTGCAGCAATTTATTTTATTTGCCCACTATTATAGTGGGCAAATAAAATTAGGGGTGGCCACGGAACTGGAACCTGTTCCGGTCCCAAAAAAATTAAAATTGGAAACGAATCGAAAATTTTCAGTTCTGATTTCGATTTGGAACCGAATGGTTCCGGTACGGTTTCAAAACTGATAATTCCGATCGATTTTTCGGCAAATCGCATAATTTTAAATTTTAAATTTTGAAGACCGGTTTTCAAAATTTAATAAATTTGTGAAAGTTATTTCTAAAAAAAAGCAAATCGCATAATTTTACATTTCAACTATTTTGAAGAGCCGTTTCAACAATTTTAATGAAATTTTGAAAGTTATTCTCTAAAAACTAAATACACCTAAAAATTATTTAAAAATGGATCAATTAAATTTATTTCTTTTAAAGACTTGAACTTAATTATTTTTTTAAAAAAATTTTTTTAAAGACTTGAACTTAATTATTTTTTTAAAAAAAAGTCTTCAACTGAATTTATTTTTTGTTTAAAAAAGTTTGAACATAAGTTTAAAAAAAATCCATTGAATGAAATGAGCTATTTATAATAAATCCAAAAAATTATTTTTTCAAAAATACCCTTGAAACTAGCCATTATGTAGCCGTTTATGTTTGTTGGGAGGGGTAATTAAGAGATTTCACAATAATTTTTTTTAAAAAAAAAACTGACAATTTCTAACGGCTAGAACCGCCAGTTCGAACCGGCGATTCTAACCGGCCGGAGAACCAACGGTTCCATCCGGTTCCGACCGGTTTGTGGAACCGTCGGTTTGCGGTTCCAACAAAACTGGAATCGAAACCGAACCAAAAATCTCCGGTTTTGATTCTAATTCGGACTAATTTTGGTTCTCACCGGTTTTGGTTATGGTTCAAGACCGGTTCGAACCACCGGTTCCGGTTCCCGAAACCGTAATATGGCCACCCCTAATTTCGCTTTCTTGAGTTGAAATTTGAACATCTAAATTGATTTATTTCTATTTTGAAACTCAATAAAATATTTATGATATAATTTTTAGGATGAAGATTATTAGATAAATTTTGAGCTAAAAGATACGCATGTGAACTGGAGGCTGGAGCCTTATCTTTAAGAAACATCTTGGAACCAGACAATCAACTTCCTCGTATACGAAAAAATCTGACTTCCAAAACTAGGACACGATTTTTCAAATATTAGCAACTTTTTTAAAAAAGAAAAACAAAACTCACGCAAAGAAAAGTAAAAAAAATCAATTTAAAAAATAAAATATTCTTGACAGGTTGCATGAATTATCAGTGTGTCATATGTAATCAGTCATTCATATAAATTATTTAATTTGGTGGACTGATTTATAAAATTTGGATAAGATGGATATTAATTTATACCTAAACTATTTCAATTTTAGAGTTTAATCTTAATTTTAAATTCCAATATTCCTTACACAGATAAGTAAAATTATATATTAACGTGTCGTCAAGGAATAATAATAAAAAATTAATATAAAAGATGCCAAATCTAAAATCAATGTATCCAGTCATATTCACCTCAATCACTATATATAGATGTACGATCTTTTACTTCTTATGTGCATTTTGTATTCAAAAAAAAAAAAAAAAAAAAAAAAAAAAAAAAAAAAAAAAAAATCTTTTTCTCTGTACCAACCATGGCGGCTTTATCTCTCTCTCAACTCTTCTCTGTCCTCAAACTCCTATCTTTCCTCTTCATCAAATTCTTTCTAATCAACACAACACTTGCCATCCAATCTTTAATCGCAGTGGTTGTCAGCTCCGGCCCACGCGTACTCACCGCCGCGCAATTCCTGTCTTATATTGAGGAGAAAATTCCGGCGATTCGCTACACGAAATCGCTAATCTGGCTGCCAGAGTCACCGGGATGTGCAGTTTGCTTGTCGGAGTTTGTGGAGGATGAAAGTGTGAGAAACTTGAAGTGTAAGCATTTGTTTCATAAAGATTGTGTTGACCAGTGGTTTCAACAATGCCGGTCTACTTGCCCGCTTTGTCGGACTATGGTGTTGCCGGACAAGGTGGTGGGCAGTTATCGCCGGCCGAAAGATGATGATGAGACAGAGTTTGATAGAAGTGAGGGGGAAATTGTTTTCTTGGTATCTCCTTTGCATGGAAATGGGATTTTCACTTATTTTTGGTAATCAATTAACAATTATTTTAATTATTTGTAAAAGATTAGGATTTTTTTTTTATTAATTAGGATATAGAGGGAGTTATGAAAGTGTTTGATTTCTGAGTTTTGACTGCAGAAGAAATTTTTATTTAGCTTCTGCAGAAATTATGTGAGCATAATGTAAATTTTTGCAACCCATATATTTTGGGTTCTTGTATGTATTCTTTAACTATATATTTAAATATCTTCTCAAAAAAATTATATATTTAAATATTTATTTATGTGAAAAAGAAAATATTGCGAACAGAAATTAAATTAAGGCAATATTATGTTTTTATGTTCAAACTTGATTGACTATTGTTAGAATATTATCCCATAGAGGTTGGGATTAAAAACATAAAAGGACATAGTTGTTGAATGAAAATCATCTAAATAGGTACATTTAATTACTTTAGGGTTGTTAAACAATATTAGCTATTTTAGTATTTATTAAAAATAGCTGTTTAATTTAGAATAATAAAAAATGACATTGATTATTTTTTTGAATAGGGAATGGGGGAATCAAATCTAGATTTATTACCGGATCGTATATGCATTTACCACTAAACTATGTCTTAGTATGCAGACATTAGTTGTTTTAATTAGCTAAATTTAAAGAAACAACGATCAGTATGATTGTCAAAAAATTTAATCAATCTTTGTGAAATTGTTAGAGTATTTGACGTTTTATAAAAAATTTTCTCAACCTTTAAAAACTATTATAAAAATTATGTTATCAAGTACCACAATTAACATAAACAAAATTTTTTACTTGATTAAAACACACTCAAACGTTACCGTGGAATGGCCTTAGCAATGATTAAATCTCATCCTAAGTCTAAATGTAAATCCTACATAACACGTTTATTTTTGCTTATTTTAAGGTTTTTTTTTTTTTTTTTTTTTTTTTTTGCCATTATTTTAAGGTTTTTTTTTTTTTTTTTTTTTTTTTTTTTTTTTTGTTTTGACAACGTTAGACGTTTTCTCTTTTTTAATTGGTTTTAATTTATTTATGATGCACCCGAAAATTTTAAAAAAATTAAAATTGGAAAAATACATGAGAAATATAAGAAAACTAGGGAAGACCCGTGCATTGCTCGGCTTACGGTATTATTATTTTTTTAAAGAATTATTTTATTAGTATATTATAATTTATACTTCATAAATTGCATTTACTAATAAATTAACAAAAACAAAAAGATCTTTTAATTAGTGTGAACCAATAAATTTATCTTTATAGGTGTAAACCAATAAATATAGTTGTATATATAAAGTTTCAAAAATGAAAAACTAATTTAAGAGTCTTGTTTAATAGTTTCTTCTAAAAATATAAAATCTAGAATATATATATACACGGAGCAATGACCATATTTTGCATTCATAATCACTTCATTCAGCAATTTGAAAAATTCAACCAATCCCGCAAGGTCAGGTTTATGCATTAATAAAATTAAATAGTTTAACATCACCACAATCAAAAGAAATAATATTGCAAATGTGAAAGTTTATATTAGTATCAATCTAGTATATGCAGAATCTTTTTTTTTTTCTACTTGAAGCTATACTGAAAAAATAGAAAGAGTTCATGCTAACATAAATTTTTGAATATTAATAATTAATAAAAGCAACAAAGAACATTAAAAAATAAATTGATAATCAAACACCGTTACAAGTTGAGATTTTAAAAAGAGAATAATCACAGCTTCAAAGTCAGGTGGAACAATTTTAAATATATAACTTCAAATCATGCATATTTTTAATTGAATATCATTGCCGGGTAGGAATGATGACGGAAGCGAAAAACTCTTCTTAAAAATACTATTGAGCCTGATTAGGAGTATGATGGTTTATGCTTACTTGCGAAAAGATAATTGGATTGTGAATGTAAATAAAAATATATATAATACACTAACTGATGTGCTATAAAAAGGAGAGAAAAGAAAAAAATTCAATATACAATAAATTAACAAAAGAAAGAAAACAAATTATAAGTGGCTTGTATGCTCTTACAAATAAATCTCATTTTTTTATTAAAAATTTAAAATAGCAATGTCTTTAGTTATATTATGTTATCTTTTGTTATGATTTATAAATGTATCCTAATTGTTGGATTATTTTCGAATTGATTCGGTTTAATTTGACCAAATAGATTTCATGGTAACCGAATGAAGAGTATGAAAATCAAATCATCTATTTTGAACATAAAAGTCAATTCAATTAGTAATGCAAGCGACTGAATCGAAAATCAAAAATCATTCGGTTATCACTATCCAAACCGAATAGTAACCGAACTCTTAAAATGTTGTCCGTACAAAATTGAAATGAGCCAATTTGATCCAGTTTGATTATTTGGTCGAACCAATACTGCTTACCTTAGTCTCACCCTCTGTTTAATGGTTGAATGTCTCATTTGGATCGAAGATTGATTATGTTGAAGTCTTCCCTAAAATGTCGACTTTTCGACTCAATTGATCAACAAGTGGATTCAAGTGCATTTCATTCGGTGAACCAAGCTATTATTACATTTGAAGAACTAAGTTGTATTTTTATTCCTTTCCAAAAGAAAAAAAAAAAAAGTTGTATTTTGATATTTTTTTATTCTCTTTCCAAATAGAAAAAAAAAAAAATTGTATTTTGATATTTTATTGTCTGTGGCCCTGAAATATTAAATTATCAAATACCTGAAATATCTATTATTATTATTTTGATAATTAAACAACCTCCCGTGTTAATTTAATTCAGAAGAATTTGAAGATAGAATTCTAGAAAAATAACGAAGCGTACCATAATTTGTTTTGTAATTTGAAATAATAAATAATTATATGCCCGTGCATTAAAGTTAATAAATAAACGGTCAAACGATTATAAGTTGTTTGATAATGCTTAGAGGTTTTTTTTTTTTTTTTTTTTAATAATCGGCTAGATCTTTTTTTTTTTTACCATGATTATATTTATGTCAAAAACAATTATCTTGTTTCATTTAAAGTATAACTCATGATTAAGCTAGATAGAATATGTATAAAAATTAAAAATTTCAAAAGCCAAATAATTTTAAAAGTTTTAAAATTTTTTAAAAAAAATTAAACATCAAACATTGGCATAAAATAGGATTATTTGTAATTAGAAATTAGATTTCCCAAAATTGATTGTGTATGAATCTTAAATCTTAATTTTCTAAAATTTAAAAAACGTAACAACCAATTCAATTAAAATATAGAACATTCCAAGAAAATTTCCAATTAAAATTTTTCAAAAATTTTTAAATTTTGAAAAAAAATAAAATCAAATACGATAAAATAGAATATTGTTATTATATTAATTTTAAAATATATGCTATTTAAATCTTAAATATAATTTTATAAGTTAGAAAAGAAATATATACAATCCAATTAAAATATAGATAACAATAAAGAAAAACAATCTAAAAATTGCAATAAAATTTTCAATTCAAAAAAATTAAATTAATACCAAAATAAAATAGATATAGTTGTTAAATTAGCATTAGATTTCAACAATTATTGGTATTCATTAAAAATATTATTAATTTTAAAAATAAAAAATATAACCATCCAATTTTCCAAAAAAATAAAGTGGGGGGAAAAAAAAAATTTAAATAATAGAAAAAAAAAAAAATAATTAAATATTCCTAAATAAAATAGGATAAAATGAGTTTCTCAATTAATAGAGTGCAACCTGCACATTATTTTTTGCTTATAGGATTATATATATATATATACTATATATATATATATTATATATATATGAGAGAGAGATCATCATTTCATATATAGAGAGAGAGATCATCATTTCAAAACATCAAAATAATAAAAACTTCTATAGAAACTATATAATTTTTAAAATCAATTGACAAGTCCATATGTTTTGAAATTTTTTATTCAATTATTTTGGATCTTTCTTTTAAATTTTAAGTTACATGATTTAAGTTTTTTTAAATGTAATAAAAGTTTTTGAGATGAAATATGACAATTTTTATAATTAAATTAGTTAATTTATCAAATTTAAGAGTAAGTTTTTATTAAAAAAAGGAGACAAAATAAAGAATATTGAAAGAATAAAAAAGAGGAAAAACCTATAACCTTTAAAATATTGTGACAAAAATGAAAAAAAAAAAAAAGAAGGTATTTGACATTGATTGATGAAATCTTATTGGCATTTTATTTTGAGGGATTTGGTTGAGCTGATGAGAATTTTAATGAGCTACTCAGTTAATAGTTAATTTGCATATATTATAGGGAAAATTTATTTGGTCTAATTTGGTTCTCGCATAATTTTCATTGTATCAGGTCAAAACACTTAAATTTCTATGTGTATATTGTGGGCAAAATTTACCACAGAAATCTATTAAGGGCATTACAAACATTTCGAAGTGTACCATGAAAATTATGTCAAATCTAAATTAGACCATTTAACACGATTCTATATTTTATAAAAATAATTACTAAAATTATTTTTTTTAAAAAAATATATATATATATACTTTATATTTTAAGAACAATCATTATTGAAACTTTATTAAGTAATAAATATGCATTAGTTAATAGTTATGAACAATTGCTATGAGCAATCAAATATCACCAAGAGTTAAATTAAATATACCTTTCCACTAGAGAGGTTATTATCAATTTATTGAAAATTATTCAAATGAGAGAATTAACCCTGCTGTGATATATTTTTTCTTTCTTTTAATTTCAACATTAATAGAGGGAAAATTAATATTTTTAATAACATTAACGGACTGTTTTTATTTTTTTTAATGATTAATAAAATTATTAACACAATTAAATTCTTTTTAACTAATAAAACTTTTGAGCTACTTTCCTTTATAATTTAAATTTAAATAATTTAAATATAAATATCATATTATAAAATATTAATTTAGAAAATATTATGAAAAAAGGAAAATTTCAAAAATTTCTAAAAAAAAAAAAAGAAAAATAGAATGTTGTGAAAGAAAAGCTGTCATGTCAGCATTTTTTTAAATGTTTTTCACCGTTGGGAGTAATACGTGGATGATTGTCCCAGTGAAATTTCACATCATGAATTATTGATTGAATAAATCCTTTATACTAAAATTAATTTATGGACATAATTATTATCAATTTATTTTAATGAAAACCAATTTATTGATTTATAACATAATTTATTTTTTATCAGTTCATTTATCTATAATAAATTCTATGCCTATTAAATAAATCTATATATAAGTAATTTAATTACATATTTGGAAAAAAAAGAATTCATGTAAGTTAAAGGAAAATCATATATCAGCAATTAAAAATTTATTAGAGGTATTGAAATATATATATTTTTTGTTAATAAGGTGTGGTGTGCTCACTAATTTTATAAGAAATTTGGTAATAAATTCTCTTTTTTTTTTTTTCCCTTTCTTATTAGTAAGCAAATGAATTAAGTTGCTCATTTGCTATGAGATTTTATCTTTTGAAAGAACTCTTTTTATCACAAAATATAAATTGTTTTTGGGTGATTATTTTATCCTAATACATAAGTCATTTTGAGCATTTTAAGGAACAACAAATGATAGTTTTCAATTTTACCCTTATTTATAATAGATATAATAAATATTTTCACAAATAATTACTATTAATTTTGAGATGAAAGATAATTTAAATTAAATTATCCTTAATTTTATTATAATAAAATAATTAATTGCTTCTTTAATTTTTATATAAAAACTTTAAACGATTTAGATTTTCAGACATACGTGTAATAACTAATGATGTGAGTTGAGCTCATCTTTGATCAAAGAGAAAGAAAAAAAAAAAAAAAAGAGAGAAGTCTGCCTAGAATGCACGTGAATTGCACGTGCATGCATAAACCCCACTGGTTGTTATTCTCTGCTGTGAAGGTTCTCCTTCAATTCTTGCGGAGAAAGCCTGTAAGTCTGTAACTTACTAACAGAATCAATTACTACCAAAATAATGGGTCATAACAAAACTAGGCGATCGAAAATTCACAATTCCCATCGTGGGCAATCCAGCAGGACCAATCAACTGGATCGGTAATTCCGTTTTTAAACATTAAATTCATATCATGTCATTGTTGGAAATTCGCTGACTGAATGGTTTTCGTCTCTACTATCGCAGAGAAGATGAGTCGCTTCCATCTGATCAAGGTATTACTTCTTCTCTCGCTATTTTTTTAATATAGTACTTGATTTCTTTCCTTTTTTTTATTGCGTATCAGGTGTTTGATATATGTTCGCATTGGTGTGAGTACCATTTTTTTTAATATTTAAATTAATTGCTTACTGTTTGCAGTTCCGGAAGCGAACGCAAATGTCCCCAGAATACAGCTTGCAATGTGGGTATGATCCTTTTACTGTCTCTCTTCTCTTGTCTTTTATATACCTTTATTGTTAATACAATCTTTTGACATTTCATATATAGTAAAAGAAAACTTCGTAGAAAAGCTGTAATTAGTAATTTAAATTGATGCTAACTTTTTCTGATTGATTTTATTTTGTAAGCTTCAGTCTAATTGTTACGACTTTATGCTATGCCTTGTTCAGGACTTTGGACAATGTGATGCAAAAAGGTGTACAGGACGCAAACTTGCAAGATTTAGTTTATTGAAAGAAAGTATTTCTACAACTTTTTCCCTCCATGTTATATTTTCACCAGTTGTTTACTCATTATGTGTGACAGGAGTTTGTCTTATGCTAACCATATTATATGGATGAGTATAAGATCTCATGTCGTCTTTTATATCATTAACATATCATCTTGAATTAGTTTATTTCACTTGCTTGTGGGGAAGACAAGAGCACCTCTATTCCCATAATAATAAGATGCAATTTCAATGCAAGACTCATTATTGTTTCTATTATTTAGTTACTGGGTGGCTAACAGGAAAGCTTGGAAAGAGAGATGGTGTGGACTCTTTTAGATCATAATACAGATATTTTATATGTAGAAAGCAGTCGTGTGAAAGGAGATATTCATTTGAGAAGGTTGATAGACAAATTATTAACAGATGCAATAAAAAAAAAGAAAAGGAAATCAACTATGAGGATCTAGGTCTGAGATCATCAAAGTATTACTTCATAGATCCCTTTGGTACCACGGTGATATATGTATTGGTTAATGAAAGTCGATGTTAATTAATGAAAATATCCATAAATACAAATATGTGACATTGATAGAGTAAGGAAATAACCAAACAGAAGATCAAAGAATTCTAGAATGGATATGAGAAGAAGAAATCTATATCTCAATTCAGAACCAAGTGTTACAGATTACAATCTTCAGATATTGAAAATGAAGAAGAAGAGAAATAGAAACTAGAACAAAAGGGAATTCTTGAATCCTAAGAAATAAGAAAGAAGAGAAATAGAAACTTAGAACCAAAAGGGAATTCTTGACTCACTAAGAATCAAGCCAAGAGCACCTCTAAGAATCAATCAAATGAAAGGAATGTTGTCTTCAGATGCGCCCTCCCTCCTATGCACTCTGCTGTACTATATTCACGATCACCCCCTTGGTTGTAACTAAATTTGGGACAGGTGTCCCAATCATTTGGTGTGGCTAGTGTCTCCCTTAATTCCCAATGCTGTACTATATTCACGATCACCCCCTTGGTTGTAACTAAATTTGGACAGGTGTCCCAATCATTGGTGTGGCTGATGTGTCTCCCTTAATTCCCAAGGCAGCAATCCCCATGTCCTGGACCCTTCTTTGGACCTTCTGGAATATACCCTTAACGGCTTAGGCTGAGGTCCATCAGACATCATGGTCTGTTATGATAAATTCGTTGCTTTCATTAGTAACCATAACCAATATTGCGGGTTGCATCATTTCATACTTTAAAAACCTCTGTCACCATTTGCAATCACACAGCTAATTAGGCAAAATAATAAAGATTAAGCACTGTAGTCGGTTTCACATATTTCATGGATCATCCGGCTTGTGTTCATTATGGTTTTTTTTGCATTGAGACTTTCAATATCGCAAGTAGTTGCTACTCGTGTCATTAAATGAACTATTGAATGGCTATATGCAGGAGTTACGTGTCAGTAATGGTTTTGGAGGCATTGTTCTAAGGTAACAGCAACACCCTTTCTTCATTACCTTATAAGTTTGTGATATCATTTCTTCCCCTTCAGTGACTTCCCTTCTAATCCATTTTTCATACTTCCTTCATCCATTTGCTTCGTTCTCAATATGGAAATCATTTGTCAAGTTCCTTATTCATCTTACTATGTGCTGTATCTCTTTGTTGGCAGTCCTGTTGGGACTCAATGTGTCTCTAAAGAAGATCATAGCTTAATAAAGAGGAAAGGATTAGCTGTCGTGGATTGCTCGTGGGCACGTTTGAGTGATGTACCATTTGTGAAATTGCGTTGTGCTGCTCCTCGGTTGTGTATGAACATCAACTCTTTTTAAATCTTACCTTTCAGAATTATCTTATTTTACATAAGAATGTGACCACATGCATCTGCACTTTCCTTTACCAGATGTCCGTCACATACATCTTATACAGGTTTTCCTTTAGGGATCATTAGTAATTAATTGTGCATTTTATGGTTCAGTGTTGTTTCTGATCATTCTTCAAGTTGCCACCATAATAGTGGAATGTATTTGTGTAATTTCATTGCGTAATCATTGAGAACCTTATTATCCTTGAATTTGGGAATTTTCTTTCAGTTTTCTTTATTTTTTATTTTGTATTCATTTGAAGAATTGTCTATTGTCAAAAAAAATTAATGAAAAGAAAGTTTCATAAAGATGGCGGGTGTTTGTTTCCGAAAATTGTGTTTGCAGTTGTTTTGTACTATGAAGTAGCATTTTGATGTGAATGGGCATGGTTACCCAATTTGCTCAAACCCCTAGGTAGCACAGACTGGGATGTGTGTGCCGGATTGTGGTACTTTCGCAATCTGGATCACAATGGTACAGATCTGGATCCGCAAAAGTAGCAATCCTGTTCTTATTTGAAGAAGGAGATGATAAAGTTTTGGCTTGGAAAACATCAATGAACTTATGGGCAGGTCATAAACAGAAGAAGAGGAATGGGAGAGAGTTGCAATGTGAAGAAGACAATTTTTTTTTTTATTTTTTTTTATTTTTTTTTATTTTTTTTTTTTACGTTATGTATGGTGTTTCTCTATCTGCCTCTCTTTCCTCTTCTGTGTTAAAACCTAACCCCCATTTTTTAAAATTTGGGCCTTCTTTAACATTTTTTTTTTTTTATTTTTTTTTATTTTTTTTTATTTTTTTTTTTTACGTTATGGTGTTTCTCTATCTGCCTCTCTTCCTCTCTGTGTTTTAAAACCTAACCCCCATTTTAAATTTGGGCCTTCTTTAACATAATACCTATAGGGCCTTCTCTAATATAAGGCCTGATTTTAATGACTTTAATCTTGCAGAGTAAATAGCTCCTGCAAAGTAGGTGATTATCTACAATTGAGTAATTTTCCATGCTTATATAATGAATTGGTTGCTTTCTGATAAATTTGGAATTTTCCTATGAATTGCAGTACCGTGGCTTGTAGCAGCAAATCCTGTAAATTATGGTCGACCCTGTGAACTGTCTTGCGTAGAAGCATTATCTGCAGCTTTGATAATATGGTGCCAAAATTTCCAACCCAATCCCATATGAAATGTTTATTATGTGCTGATGTTGTGACAATTCTTTTACCTTTAAATATCCCGCTTTTACTGAATTATGGTTACTATATCTAAGGTTTAATTGTAGAATAGAAGTTGTATTGATAATCATTTTGGTCATTTCTAGACCAGTTTCTTTGTCTGGAGTCAAGTTATAACATTTTATGTTGCAAGCTCTTTTGTTTGATTTTGGCTCTTAATGAAGCATTCTTGCTGTTATTGCACACGATTAGATGATGGAAATTTTGCTATCTGTTTGTTTAAGTGACAAGGAATAAATTTTAGGCAGCATATGTTTACACAGCTCGAGATGCCCATCTGAAATCACTACTGTTGCTGCCAATGGTTTTAGATGCTAAATATTGCATTCTGTTACATCCCACTGATGAAGACCTTTTCATTGAACTCCACCAAGGACCTCTAAAATTCACTATATAGCCATTGAAACCTAGCATTTGACAGAAGCTTGGCAAAATTTTTTCAATATAAAAGGAAGTTCATGTTACACATTTGTATTTTAAGGTTATTAGATGTAAGGATCAGTCAAATCTCCTTAATGTGCTTGATGAAAGGTGCACCACTGAATCAATAGTTCCAAATCAATATAAGATATTGATAAACCTTTACTTGTGAGAAGGTAGGAGTGGCACCTATCAAGTAATAAACGAGAGAAGAAAGGTTAAGGTGGGTTAGCCATTTATGTCGTACACCACCATAGCCCTCGTAAGGTAAATGGAGTACCTTGAAGTAGATAAGGCTACTATAGGGAGAGAAGATCCAAGATGACATGGAAGAAGTGATTAAGAAAGATCTTGATGTGCTAGGTTTTTCTCAAGAACCAACGCAAGACAGAGTGGAATGGATGATTGGCCGCCTCAAAACTAGCTTTGGATTAAGGCTTAGTTGTTATTGTTGTTATACATTGATAAACCTTAATGGGGTTTGAAACTAATTCTCTAATTATATATCTGATACTTTTTGACACTATTTTATATTGAACATTGATGTTTAATGACTTTTCTGAAATATGTTACAATGATGCGCTATTTACGCATTAGGCTTCTAATTGTTTTGTAATCAAGTTTTTCCACTTGAATTACTTGTTACTTTTAGAATGAGATATTATCAGTACAGTTTTTGATATATTTCACATTAAATTATCAATGTTCAGTGCGTTTGACCATGCCTAAGTACCAGCATTTGCAAACATCTTTTGTGAGGACAATTTAAAGAGTTGTTTTTCCTCAAGAATATTATGAATATTCTTGATAAATGCTTGTGGCATGTTTAATTCTGGTTTTGATTTTCTGTTCTTGTATTATATTTCTGAAAATGAGAGTATTTTTTTTTTTTTGTTCATTGAAAAAAAAAAAAATCTTTCAATTATTTTTTAGGGATTGAAAACAGTTTTTGGAAAATCAGAAAGCTATATCCTGAAAAATGTTGGAATTTTGGGTACGTCAAACTTATCTTACAAGTTCTTGAAGAGAAAGTCGGCCAAAAGAAGGTCCATTTCAGAGGATAATTTGCCCTTTTCTTTTCCATATACAACTTTTGAAAATAGGAGCCAAATGAACCCCATGAATATTTTTCTTGTAAGATATGAAATCCATGGCAAGGTATGATTCCATGTCAGTGGCAATCTATGAAGTACCGACATGGTACATGGGATATTTAAAACATGAGTTAGACATGCATGCCTAAATTTCTGTGTCTACAGAAATTAACACGATATACATGTTTATGAGTGTTATGTTAGATAAGTTTCTAATACGACACGACACAGACCTATGACTTGGACACATGCTGAAAGCTGAAGTGTTCATGATTCATAGGTTGCAGACTGGCAGTTTATTGGTTAGCAGCTGTAGCAAGCTGGCGATGTTAAAACTAATGGTTGTGATAATGGCATAGGTAATTATTGTGCTGGTAATATAGGTCATTTTGGTGAAAATGTGAAACAAGAGCCCTCAGTTTAAGTATGTGATTATAGTATAGAGTTCCTGAATTCTGTCATCCTATTTATTTTTTAGATTAGATGATCATAATTGATAAATTTGAATTACTTCAAGACGGATACTTGAACCTTCACTTTACCCTAAAGCATCTGTCAGACAGGGATGCTTCAACATGCTTATGACACTTTGACACTCCAAATAAAGGCTTCTGGAATTGTGTATATATAGGATATTCTTACCCAAGTCAAAGCAATTGCGCTAATCTGTATCTAACACAATGGGATTGATAATATTCTAGGAAACTGTTTAAGCTCGCTTTCTTTGAGTGTGAGTTTCATATTCTGGTCATAAACTAAATTGTCTTATGTTTCGCACTAACATCGTATTTTCTAACAGTGGGGAAGAGGACACTGCAGAGTTGTTGCTGGGGAAATTCAAATGGGGTCATGCTTTCTCGAGTCTTAACAGGTGCTTTGTTTTCATGTATTCTGAGTGACATTTTACTTAAATATTTTATGAAGCATGGTTTTCTTTAAACCCAATCAACCTAAAGTTGATAACTTCTATCTTCAATTATTAGAAAACAAAAATTAAATATTCCTCTACATGAGCTTAAAAAGGCTGTTTGAAGACTCTTCAGTGGCTATAACTTCTATGCTTTGTAATTACTGTTTCGTTTTATTCTATTTTACATTTTTTCTCTATGTTCATGTGCGTGAAGAACAAAGTATGTTATTCTTGCAACAATTCTCTTGTATCTGGTTCTCTGGATAGGTGTTCCCTTGTTTACTCTGAATTTTATGTTGCCTTCCATTTCCTATGTCAGAATACTTTTATAACTAGAGTTTGAAATTTCTTTTGGCATTGATTGTTATGTTGTTTTGGCTTCCAATTGATACAGAGAACTTCTAAAGGCATACTCTGAATGTGAAAATAGTGCTGCCATCATTTCTGTCCAAAATGATTGGCTTTCTGCACAAAGTCAGGTTCCAAAAGCAGTCCCAGAAGTTGAAGGTACTTCTTCTTCACCGATAATCAGACTTCTCTTTTCACATCATATGGCTACTCAAAAATTGAAAGATCTTATTTTTGAAAGTGAAAAATGATACAAATGCTTTTGTTATCAGCAAAAGCTTTGGATTATTTACTTCTCTGAACCTTTTATCCTGTATAATGGAAAACTGGATATGCTGTTTCTGGAACTGTTAAACCAGTCAGCAATTTCAACTTTTAGTTTTACATAGAAGGATCTATATATTCTCATTCAAACTAGTTTATACTGTCTCCCAGACATTTCCATTACCTGTGATTTAAATTACATTAGTCAATGGTACTAGCAAGTTTGGCCTGTGAATCTCACTGTGGATCCTCCTAAGTCAACCATCATTTGTGGCACACCTTCTAAATCAACTATCATTTAGCTCTTCTTTTTCCTCTTCACCTTTATAGTATGCAACTCTTCTTCCTCTTACTATACTTGGATTGGACCTCTCTGGCATCTTGGTGAATTTATTTTGTGTATTGGAGATCTGTAGAATATGGAATATAGTAAAATTTGGAAAGGTGCATTCTGTGCCTAGATTATAGAAAAACTCTTCCTAACCTCTTTTTTCCAGTACAATGGAAAACTGGATCTGCTTGTTCTGGAACTGCTGAACCAGTTAGCAATCTCAACTGTGATTTACTTTACATAGAAGGATCAGGACATTCTCACTAAAACTAGTTTCATACTGTCTTCCCAACATCTCCATTACATGTGATTTAAATTATATTACTCAATGGTAATAACAAGTTTGGCCTGTGTTCTTCTCGTGGATCCCCCTAAATCAACCATCATTTGTGCCACACCTTCTAAATCAACTGCCATTTAGCTGTTACTTTCCCCTTTAGTTTTATAGCATGCAACTTTTCTTCCTCTCGCTATACTTGGATTGGACCTGTTTTGCCATCTTGGTGAATTTTTTTCTTTTTGTCTATTGAAGATGTGTAGAACTTGGATTACGGTAAAATTTGAAAAGGTGCATTCTGCACCCAGATTATAGAACAATGCTTCTTACCTATTGTTCCCTAGTTTCTACGTTACCGTCGAATATCTTCTCTTTGTATAAGCTAAACTTAGATGGCAAGACATTCATTGTTGGGATCTTTATTTTACAAATAATCTTACATCATACAATGTTTGTGCTCTTATAAAATCTATTTAATTTAGGTGCTTTTATCCTATTTTTAGATATTTAGTAAAGAATGCTATCTGATGACTTCACTTATCTTGCTGCATCTTATTAACCATAGGTCTAATAAATAAAGCTTGCAACTGGTCCTTACCCTGTAAGATTGGCTAGCTATAATTCAAATTGATGTAAGCTTCATTTGTTTTCTGATGGTACTCTTGATTTCAGAATACATTTTTGGGATCATATTCAGCTTATCTTTGTATGCCTTATTTCTCCATATAAGTCTGCTTGGGGGCCTATCTGATATTCCTATTATTATTTTTTGATTAACTAGAAAGAGAATGCTATGTACGGTTTGCTTCTAAATCTTTTCATTAGATTCCTCGAATGGCACTTACAATCTGTAGAAAATAAAAATTTCAAATTATTGACATGTATGTCTGATTTCTCCACTACAGCAGCAGAAGTAAGCAAAGATGAGGGATCTTATAGTGATTCAGATGATGGGCTTCCACCACTCGAAAGGAATATGAATCATTTGAACTTCCAAGAAAGTGATGATGAAAGTGAGTAGGTAGAATCCTACTACATTTGCGGTTACATGGTGACTCACAGCAAGAACAGCTCCATTCCCACATCTGCTTCCTTGGATTGATAGCTCTTGAGCCTTAACCTTTTCTCCCAGACTAACGCGACTCTTTAATTGTTAGAGTAATTTCCTTTGTAAAACCAAAGCAGTTGCTTGGATCTACTATCTATAACTGTTAGGATTATCAAGTCACGGCAAAACTGGTAGATCGGTGCAAAAAGAATAAGGTTTCTTTGGATTTTCTTACAGTTTAGTCTGTATGTTACGTAAATGGTTCGATACTATCAGATAGTTGCTTCGAAGACCTGCCTGTAGAAAGAGCTGTTCCTCCCAAGCAGTGGCATTGTAAATATGCTTTTCATATCATTTATAGTAGCTGAAGAATTGTTTACATGCTTTCGCATCATATGCTTTTATACCTATGAGGTAAGTTACTATGACGCAAAGTGCACTTCAACAAAATTTTACCAGCAATGCTATAATTAGGATTTGTTATTTATACTTGTTGGTCGGATGTATCAGTCAAGCGTATGTATACTGATTACTGAGTGAGCAAAATCATTCAGAAATATTTACAATACTTGCATTTAGGATTTTTAAATCATTTAATATGCATTTGTATTATATATCTAATATCTAGATATTAATTTATAATGTTTATATTTATATTCAAAATTTATATATTCACAATAGTTTGGGTATAAATAGTTGGATTTTTAATTAAGAACAAGAAAAAAAATTAAATTTTTTAACGAATTAAATTTTGTTAAATTAAGTTCAAGTACATAAAAGGATTCAATTAAATCTATTTTTAATAGCGTTGATTTTTTCGGACGGTTTTACTTATGTATATGTATAGGATGGATCGTTAGTGTTGAAGATTTGAAAGATATGATTGGAAGACATGAATAGTTAAATAAAAGAGAGTTAAATAAAAGAGAGGGTAATCTCAATGATGATAAGTTTCCTAGGCCTGCGTTTGGTTTAAAATGGTTAATTTCCTCGAAAATATAATTTCTAGAAAATATATTTCCAAGAAAATTATTTTCAAGAAAGTAAAATTTGTACGTGTTTAATATACAAATCAACTTTCTAAGAAGTGAATTGCTTTTGAACTATAAATTACAATTCATAATATAAATTTGAGTGAATTTAAATAATAGGATAAATTAGTAAATTCATTGTATTTAATTAGGGAATTGTAACTTTCCTATCCATATTTAAGGAACTTAGGTCTTCTGTATAAGGAAGTTGGATGATCTACTTTTCAGAATGTAGAATTGATAATGCAAACTAAATACAAACACTTTATGCATTTAATGAAGAGTTGCACTTCCCTAGTCTACTTACTCCAACCAAACATACTTAATATATTTGAAAGGTCAGTTTATTATTTGCTTCCTGAAATTTGATTACAACTCCACTATTTTTTGAAATCCATATTAAAATATTCATAAACTTTAGTTTTCTTAACAAATCGGTCATTTAGCTTTTGTTGACCATTTAAGGAAATATTGTGGTAAAATATCTAAAATATTTTGAATAGGACTATAAACAATTTGTGTTGAGCTAAGTCGAGTGCTGTTTGACATATCAATTCTTAGACCAATATAAATTTCTCACTGAAATGTCTTTCTCAAAATTAAAAGTTCGCATATAATTTTACCATAACCTTATAAATGGTAATTTGGAAAGTTCTAATACATAAATTTTATACTTTCGACGATTATACTTATAATTCTTAAATTTCGCAAAACCTTATTATGAATCAGAAATTTCATATTTCAATAATAATTATGCTTCTCACAAAAATGAAAATGAAACATGAAAATGCAAAGTCATGATTGAAATCATGTAAAATTATTTTCTTTTTAACGAGAGATATAATTATTATTTAAATATAAAAATGTAGGGTCGTGATTAAATACCACAAAGTCCAGGAGCGTAAAATTTATGTATGAAGGGCACGTGGAAACGAGGGAGGATAGTCAAATTCCCATTTTTTTTTTCCTTTAGAATTCTTCTAAGATAGATTATCAGAAAGGTTTTGTTCTTAGCCCAAACCCGAACCGCCTCAGCTTGGGGCTACCTGGAAATGGATTGGGCTCAGGTTCAATTTTAAATAAAGTCCAGTCCACCCACTCAAACCCTACTATTTAGCGGAAGATTGTTCAAAAACCCTACCCGATTGGGAGCAGCCAAGAAGTGTAGGGTTTCGGCGGCACCACTCTCGCGGAGAAAATGGTTTCTGGCAAGAAAACTGTACGTCCTTCTCTTCTTCCCCTTATCAATCATCTCATCTTTCGCAAAATTCCTATTTAGATTTGTAATTTTTGTTGTCGTTCCTAATTTTCCCCCTCTTTTGTGATATTACAGAAGAAGACCCATGAGAGCATCAATAACAGATTAGCTCTCGTGATGAAGAGTGGAAGGTACACTCTCGGTTACAAAACCGTGCTTCGGTCTCTGAGGTCTTCCAAAGGTGAAACCCTGTTTTATAACTCGTTTCATTTTTTGTGTTCTTTTTGTTTATTTTATTTTAATTGTGGGTATTTATTATTGGTAGGCAAGCTTATCATAATTTCAAACAATTGCCCACCGCTGAGAAAATCTGAGATCGAGTACTATGCCATGCTTTCTAAGGTTGGAGTACACCATTATAATGGAAGTAAGTAACTTTATATCTTATACTGGATCTTAGATTTTTTACATATGATGTTTATTTTTATTTTTATTTTTTTGTTCATTTAGATATCCATTATAGTTGAGGATATTAGAATAATGTTTGTGTCTGAATATGAGAATGGGGTAATTGCACCCATAAGATTAATACTGTTCACCTCATTAGCTTATATATTTTAATTTCAAATTTTCTGCTGATATGATGAGCTTCTAGATGTTACTTGCATACCATTTTAGATTTTAATTGCATGTTGTCTAAAAATTCGAGTTATATGAATTGCGATGTCATATACTGTTTAGCTTCCTTAGTTTTTGGTTAAAAAAATTAGTCACTTTTTGAAAAATGAAACTAACACCCTGTTTAGACAATTATTTTTTGGATTTTATTCTCTTCTGAAGTTAGAATTGTATGTCATATTAAATTTGTGTTGTTTTATGTATATTTAAGATTGTATATGAGTTGGATTTACTTAATATGGTTTTTTCAGATTTCTTGCTATACATTTTTTGGTATATCTTGCAGGGTTCTTTATTGGACATGTAGTCTTTGAAAATATAGTTTAGTATCAAATACTAAGTCTTTGCGTCTTTTGAACTAAACAGGCAAATGTAAAATGAAACATCCACGAAAAGACTGATTGATTGCAATTCATATGAAGATTATAAAGTCATTTGTAAGAAAGTAAATCAGCATCAAATCAAACAGAATTGCAATCCTTTTTTTTTTTTTTTTTGAGAAAATATGAGGGATTGGGAATGTGGTTGTCTATGATTGCATTATATCCTCGTATGTTTCTTATATATCATGCTGTCATCTAATATGTATCTTAGATCCTGAATTTGTTCGACTAGTTATTGAAAGCCCAAGTTTTCCGCATGTATGAACAGCCGTATTCTTTATTCAGTGTTTATAACTTTGAAACTAATTTCGTCATCAATGTTATGTGGTTCTGTAGACAATGTCGACTTGGGAACTGCTTGTGGGAAGTATTTCCGTGTTTCTTGCCTTAGCATTATCGATCCAGGTGATAACATATCGAATTTGTCTTTTGAATATTGTGTTAAAGAATATATGTGATCCACTGACATTTGAATGAATGTCTCTGTTGTACAGGTGATTCTGATATCATCAAGAGCCTCCCTGGTGATCACTGAGTAGAAATACATTTCTCTTTCAATATCAGCTTTCCTTTTAAAATGTATGAGGCCTCTCAATTTGGACTCCCCCCTCTCTTTTCCCATGAAATTAAACAGTAGTTTGGACTTATTTGTCAAATTTTGCCTAGTTTGGAGATGACTACTGTCGTGTTACTAATTTTATTTATGGGAAATCATTTACAATCAATGCTCTAACCCTAGTTATGCATATGCCCATGCTGAGTCTCAGATGCAGTTATAGATCTTGTGTCGGCAAATGTGTTGTGGTAAATTACTGAAACACCCCTAAGGCATATTTTGTTATACTTATGTTTGAAAATTTGTGGTTACACTACTGTTTTTCACTTTATCTAGCATCAAATTCTCTAATGACTAGTCATTTTGGTAGCATCAGTAGGTGCTGAGCGAACTGTGGTCGGAATCCCATCCAAAACCACTTGTGTTAAGCAAGCACTTTGCATTTTTGATGATGTTTATCCCAAGTTTTGAAGCGAGATAATATTATCTTTAGTAATAGGGACACTTGCGTTGCTTTTTCTAAGCCTTTTTATTTTCCGGCATAATCAGGTGGGTGATTTTCCAAATTATGTTGATAAAGTAAAATATTTTATGCATTTGGCCATTTTCTTGCCATTTGTCCATCATAAACTATAGTCACAAATATATCATATGGTACAATTATGTGATTGTCATATTATATGAATAATGCTTTATTAACACAAATCCAAAAACTTATGGTAGATTGAACTCGACATGATATCTATCTTATGTGATAAATATCCATAAATCATATGCTGTTTGTAAAAGAATCAAATGATGTCATAAGGACACATGACTAGTGGATAATGCACGTCGCATACTCTTGTATGTTTTGATTGTTTGAACTTCAAAATCAGCATCAATCTCATTTAACAGTAAATCACCCTTCTTCTTTTGCTGGTCTTCTATGTAATTTTGCAACCCACAACGAGCACTAATAATAGGATTAATCAGTTTTGAATTGAAGTACTTACATTATTCATATGCCTATTCACTTCATTCCAGCAAAGCCTTTCTTTTTCAAGTGTGAGATTCCAATTGGAAGAGAAATCCTATACATGAAAAAACTTGGCCCTAATTGTACCACCGAATATGCGATAAGCAGAAGAAAAAAAAATAAAAGACGTGCTTCTAAAAAAAGTTATCCTCCGATGTGGAATATTAAAAATACTTAACTATGGCTGCAAATAAGTTGAACTCAGCTCGAATCTGCCAAGTTCGGAGCTCAGATGATGAAAGTTGGAGCTCGATTTGAGGTCGGAGTTCCAATTCAAAAAATTTTAAACTCGAGTTCGTGATTCGATACTCAAATAAGTTTAAAATAAATATAACGGGGTGATTCGATACTCAATAAGTTTAAAATAAATATAATATATTATTATATATATTCATGTATATGTATACGTAAAAGTTCAAACTATTGTTTAAAATAAACACTATATCTATGCATATGTAAAAGCTTTTTTGAATTTTTCTCAAACTAAATTTGAATAATTCTTCTATGTCAAACGTTCTATGTCTAGCATACCAAACGCTCATGAGTTAGCTCAACTGATTTTTACTTCTATGTCAAACGTTCTATGTCTAGCATACCAAACGCTCATGAGTTAGCTCAACTGATTTTTACTTCTATGTCAAACGTTCTATGTCTAGCATACCAAACGCTCATGAGTTAGCTCAACTGATTTTTACTTCTATGTCAAACGTTCTATGTCTAGCATCCCGTTTGGTATGCATTTCAGTTAAAATATGAAATTCAGTTGTAAATAAATTTTTATATTTAATAAAAAGAGAGAAGAAGAGGGTTGGCTTTGGTATATCTTCTATGTCAAATTATATATATATATATAATATATAATACTATTTACTATCACTTGCAGAAATGAAAGCTGGTTAGGAGGCGGTCACATCTGGAAGACCGCTTCGTGATTATTTGTGCCATTTTCTGATTTACTACCATTGACTTATACGAGTTTATGGATTTATATATATTTACTTCACTTGCAGAAATAAGCTGTTATGGAGGGTTCAAAATCTTGAAGACCCTTCTGATTTATTTTGCCATTTCTGATTTACTACCATTGCTTAATACCGATGTTTATGGATTGTTCGTAATGTTCCTAACTAGTTGCTTTTAATTCTCATTTTTACCACACCTAAAAGAAAAAAGCTCGCTGATGATTAAAAGGAAAAATTCACCCGATTTAGTCAATTTCAGTCTTAATATAATATCTATCCGATTATTACAATTTTACCATAGTACGACGTTACAATTTTATATTTGAGTCCACGCGTTTTTACATGTTAAAATGGTCAATTTACCATAAGAAATCGCGATTTTGGTAAAATTGATTCGGCATATTTCCCGATGAATTCTCTCTCTCTCTCTCTCTCGTTTTATTTTTTTCGAAGAAAAAGAAAATCCTATCCAAACTCAGAAAGAAGAATCAAGAAAGGATAAGGCAATATAATAAGGCCAAAATAACGTTTTCGAAGAAAAAATCAGAAATCTGAAAATGCAGATCTTTTCAATTCAAGGAAACTCCAAAAGAAGATAATATTTCAATGTATGATTCAAAATCTTACAGGAAATAGAACATGATAATACAAATATATACAAATTATATGAAAATCAAAGCAATATTAAGCAGAGAAGAAACCATTAGAAGCAGCAACGCCAATTTGGGTTTTAGGGTCCAAAAACCATTTCACAATTTCAAGATTTTCTTGCTCAACCTTAAAATTCTTGACCCTTTCAGAAATAGAAGAAACCCAATTGACCTCTATTTTTGTATCAGCACCGCTACCTTTTCTTGAATTCTTGACTCTCCTTTCATACTCCTCTGCTACCAAAATAGCAATATCCGCCATTTTCGCTTCTCTCTCTTTCTCTTCAGGTTAAAAATATTGAAATTTTGATTAACTGATGGACAAGAAGGGTGAGATGAGAGGCATTTATAGTAGCAGTAGGGCAGCACTAGTTTATAAAGTCTGGATAAGATTTACAGGTGGACTGGTTTTTATGTATTTGCCTTTTTTTTATTGGAGCATGTTCAGCATTTTTTATGCTGGTTTTTGGGTTGATGGTTTTGGACGTGGCAGTTTTCACCGACTACGCGTTCTCTTATTATTATTATTATTATTATTATTATTATTATGATACTTCTAATTTCTAAACTTAGATTAGATAGATGAATGTTCATAACCAAAACAATAATATAATAAAAAATTAATTAATGATTATTGTCTACATCAAGCTGTTAACAGTTAACACTCCATGTCTTTGGGAAGGCCGCTGGCTTTGGTTCCATTTCTTCGTTCATAGGTTAATGAAATTTGAATGAATTTATATATTTATAACCAAATTCTGGAAAAAAATTTATAATTGAAGAAACCAATTGAATACTACTATATAGTTTGATATAACAAACAGAACGTTTTCTAAGAGAATTAATTTCAATAGATTTTTCTGTTGCTTCACTGTCACTGTTTTATTAAAACAAGGTTCAGGAGCTTTCTGTTGCCTAGAACAAAGAGGGAAGAGAAGAGCAAGCAATTTTGGACAACTCACTTTTGAGACGGTGGGTTTGTTTTTGTGATAAAAACCACCGAAATTAAACCGAAAACCGCTTCCTGAAATTAATTGAAACCCGCACACAAATTCGATGAACTGGAAAACCGCTCTTTGCACTTACACGTGGCAATTTCATAGGATTTTTACATTTTGGAATTTATTCATAAAATTTGATATTCCTGGTAAATCATTCCCAAATTGTTGGTATTCAGAATGAAGAAATTAAAACTCCCACTTGTTTGATCAACTTTTTTCTAAGCAAATTGAAACTTATAGCTTGGCCATGAGTAGGCCTATTTGTTGGTTGATGAATGATTGTTGTTTGAAAATATTTTTAATAACAATTGCTATTGAAATGTAAAATTATAGTTAGAGCTATAACTATTTTTATAAATTATTATGTATTATATATTTCTTTTATTTTTTAGATTAATGTGTTTCATTTTAATGTATTTAAAATATTAATTAAAATTTTTATAGTGAGATTTAATAGTTTTATATTTTTAGATAATTAAAAATAAAATGATCATGTGAAAGTTTTAATTTAAAAAAATAATTGTAGTTAATAAATACCATTCAGCTTATGATGGAAGCTGCTATAGATTAAAATTCTTGTCAAATATCTCTCGTTTAGTTGCTGGATATAAATTAGCTATCAAGTGTATGAATTAAATGAATAGAATGCCACCCAAATAGTATTAATTAGTTTTTTTTTTTTTTTTGAATTTTATTATTATTTCCATCAAATACGTTAAGTATTTTTTACATTTTATTCAAACTTATTTTACTTTTCTCCTCTCTTAAAATTAATTGAAAATCACTAAGAGTTGAATAATTAGATAAAATGCAATTTATTAGATAAAGAAATATTTTATTATAACTCAAGTCATTTAGTTCTTCTTTTAATTACCATATAAAAATCTTAAATAACAAATAGAGAATTTTTAAAATAGTAACATAAATATTTCAATTCTCCTGCTACCGGACCACATATTACCCTACCAACATCTCTTATAAAAATAATCCTAAAATCTAATTGAATTTTGGTTTTGCAACTTTAATCTTATGATGCGCTGAATTTTATGAATGACCTATTATATACTTTAATTTGTAAATTTTGATATCATTGCACATAGTTTTTAGGATTTTTTACTTCTATATAAAATATTAGTTTGATGTATAATTAGTATAGCTTTTGAAACAATAATTTTTATATATTTTTAACTATTTAATAGGTATTTAATTAATCTTATTTTGTAAATTGAAGTGTTCAATAAAATAATTCTATAAATTGAAATATTTATTATAAGTAATTTTATAAATTAAAATATTTAATGGATCAAAAATTAAAATTAAAGGTACCATAAAATTAAAATAAAAAAATTCAGAAAATTTATGTGCCTAGCCATCGAATTTTTTAAGAAAAGTTTGACATAATCCAATGAATCCACCTCTGATTTGGAAGATTCTCAAACTAAATCACGCGTAGTATCATTCAGTACCAAGTATCCATCCTGTGAAACAAAAGTTGAAATTTTTAAAAAATTAAAAATAAATAAATAAAATATCCCTGTCCTGCCCGTGAGGTTTATGTCATCTGCCACGTGGGTTTTACAAGTCTGTCGGCAGTAATCCCTCTTAAGTCTTAAGTCACCAGCAAAATTTAAAAAACAATAAAGAAAAGCAAAACCGTCTTTTCCTATATATATATATATAAAACTTTTAAAGTGAATATAGAAAATATTATTTCAATTTTTTAAAAATATTATTAAATAATAATTATTATTATTCCTAAATAACTATAACTAAAATGATAAAAAATATTAATAAAAAAATAATTTTATTAACATTAAAAAGGTTCAAATAATGATATAAATACAAAATCAGTTGTTATAAAAAAACTTTAAAACACAACTGATGGAATGAACGAGTTATAAATCAATCACTAATTAAAATCTTTATCAAACATCAATAACCAAACTATTGAGTATACAAGAATCAATTAAACTAAACCCTTTTTTAAGTTTTATTTTTAATTAAATCAAATTAAAATTAACTAAACTTATTAATAGATAAGATAAATTTTTAAATAACTAATTGAAATTAACTAAACTTAGGAATACTTCTTGCACTTACATAGACCACCAAGTCGTGCTCACCAAGTCAGAAAGGTGGCAAATTGTCCGTTTCTGTACAGGTAAACCACAGATTTTTTTTCTTTTTTCTTTTTTAAAAGTTCAGAGCTGAATTGAGCCTTATCCCCATATTACGACAGAGAAATCTACGTGTGGAAGAAGAAAGATACTGATCGAGCAAAATCTAGTCTGAACTAATGTGAAAAGTTTTTTAAATAAAAGATCTGATACAAATTGGCCATCCAAAAAAAAAAAAAAAAAAAAAAAAAAAAAAAAAAAAAAAAAATTGTTCAGTGACAATAATAGGTAAGGCTAATTTCATGTAGAAAAAAAAAAAAAAAAAAAAAAAAAAAAAATTGTTCAGTGACAATAATAGGTAAGCTAATTTCATGTAGAAAATCCATATATCCATTATGAAAATTAACAGTGTATACATAATAAAAAAACAAATGGTTAATGCCATAAACACATCTCTAATACAGAGTGTAATTCTTTTTTGATAGATTACAGTAGAGAGAAAATATGAAGAGAAATTTTTTGTTAGTTATTTTCAGGACACCGTAGTTCACTTCTCTTTACTGATCTTACTATCATAGTACAATACGAGGAAATTTTTCACAATTTATCATTAATAGATTTGTAAATGTAATTTGAACATCATCAAAGAGCATTTGATATTCTCTTACATAGTAACTGCAGGAGGCGTTTAGTGTTGAATAAAATTCAAAGGCTTGCAGTATAGATTGACCTACCGGATAAAGTACCACTCCATCTCTACAGTATGTTATTCCTGTGATCAATGATACGGCACTCAATTTACTCATAATAGACCCAGACTCTTCAGCTGGTGAATGTGTTCTGGTGGGAGAGGCGGAGGAGACCAATCAGATCCTGTCATCTCGCCATCGACATCCTCAACAACATATTCCTGAGAAAGCAGAAGGAATAAAAGAAAAAATCAATTCATGTTGTTGAGAAATATTAATCAAATAAAATTTGCATAAACATCAGAGTTAATATGTGGTGCACAACAATTTAACAAAGATTATGTAGTGGAAAAAGAGGATTGAATCAATTATATAAAGCACCGACACTTCAGTCTTAGATGAATATATATGTGTCAGACGCATTTCCAACATGGCACAACACATTGCCAATACTAGTGTCACGTGCTAACTCCTTAAAGAATAGCTGTGTCAATGTATCTGTGTTGTATCAAATATCATGTCTTATGTCCATATCCAGTCTTAGAATGTTAACACTCAACTTTCAGCCATACGGTCAAAGTCACAAACCCCATACTGGTGAAAGACCTTGGACCTGATGAGATTAGAAGATGGTTACCCACTCACCTTTGTTAGCATCCTTTTTGCGAGTATGTGATAATGGCGTTGCCAAATTCGTTGTCCAACCATAGTAGCAACCAAAACACTATAGAATATGCCAATCACAGTAAATAGTCCTAGCACAATCAAAGCCATTATAAATAACAATGGTAACCCTGCTTCGCCAGCACCTCCTAAGCAACCGCATTCACCGGCTGCACTTGCACAGCTTTCAAAGCATGTGGTACAGTCAGTCCACATACAAAGAGTACCAGGTAAATGGCAGTCTGCACACATTCTGCAAAAATAAGAAAAGCAAATGAATTACCCAAATTATTACTAAATTGAGTTGCTAAATCTAGCAACTGCAGCTCAGTAAGATGCAAGTGATGAAAAAAATTTCATGAGTTCGCACCATTCATGTAAATGCGTGTAATACTAAAGAATGTCTAGCATCTGCTGTTTTAATGGGCTCAAGTTTAATGAACTTCGATCCCATACCAAAGCACAACTCACATATTAGTGCTCATCAAATAAATAGACATTCCTTCGGCACTTCATTTATTTTTTGCCTAGTAATCCAGTACAATAGCACAAAGGTAGATTTTTTTTAAGGCACATTGTTGTACCAGTGACATCCATTATGATTATCCTCTCCAGTCACCATACCTTACAATGAAGGAGAGGAGAGGAGAAAGAAGGCTGAACCAATCTAGCAAGACAGTTTGTCACTTCTAATTGCTTATTTTGTGCAGTAAATCAGTTGATAAAACAATTTGATAAATTTCAAGGTTGAATTCAATTTGCTTTCAAATTTCCTCCATCCTTTCCTCTGCATAGACAGGACAAAATAGGCAAGCAAAACAAAAACAAAACCCTAGTGCAATATATAATAATTATGAAAAGTAGAAGAACTAACGGAAGTACATACATCATCCTTTAAAAAAAAAAAAGTGTACATGCATGACAGTCACTGTAGTTCGCCTTAAAGTTAACAAGGAAAGAACACAATCAGAAAAGACTTTTTCATCTTAAACTTGGAGAAAAAGGAGGGTGGGTTAGCTCTATGGGCCTGGATATAAAAGAATTATTATAGCAAGAAAGTTTTGCAAAAATGTTTTCAAGATTCTTCAACATCTAAGAAGACATTTAAAATTCCTCATTCCTTCCACTGAACATTCAGAAGCAATGGTAAACCAAATGTGTGTCTCTCCCCAATATGATAATCCTTATAATCTACCAAGCAAAAACAAATTAATTGTTCCAGATACCAAACAGTCAAGATCAGTCTAAATTCTAATACTCATAGCTCTCTTAAAGATCAAACCAAATGAAAGAACAATATCATTTGCATCAGCTTTTGAAATAAATAAAAGAGATACCCAGGCTGGCAGCAACAAAGACATAATTCTCGACAAGGCTGAGCCAAATCACTGCGAACTCTTCGATCATAACAAGTAATGAAGCAGCCAGACAGCCCCAGCAAAGCAAAAAATAATAGTGCTCCTGTACAGTAAAACATTCATGTAAAGGTACCATCCACATAATCAGGCCAAAAGTTGTAATAGCTAATACACTAATCCTTAAAATTAAGAAATGTCTAATACTGTTTTATCTTTAATCTAAATTACGAACTTCAATGAAAATTTCTAACTTAGCAAGCAACAAAAAAGATCCAATCCATGAATCATAACTAGAAAAAGGAAAAATATCCACCAAGAATGACCAACTGTTGCAGTCAGCTCAAGGTGAGATAACACAGAGCAGAACTAGAATGCTCTGTGACAATATATAAAGTTTCTGTAGGCTGAAAGGTAAATTCACAAAATCAAAACTAAGCCAACTATTGCATAGTAATGATTATTGGGCAGTAGAAAAAAAAAAAATATCATGTCCATAATGCATGCTAAACATAGGAATAGAAATCCGAATGAATGCAATCCAAATTCCTATTCCATGGTGCATGCTAAATATAGGAATAGAAATTATATTCCATATTCCATTCCATTCCTCACTCCATTACTAAACATAGCCTTAGCGTAGCAGAAAAGAAATATTAAGACATTCACAGAAATCCAAGAAATGATAAAAAAGGAACAGGTGCATTGAGTTCTGACCAATTAAAATATGTACAATAACACCATATGAGCATAAGTTAATGCACAGTCATCTGACATAGTTATATGGGTGCATCACCAATGCAAAAGTAAAGTTGCAGAGGTGGAAAGAAGAGTGAAAATGTGATGTGGTGTACGGACGGAAGCTATTTTAAATTATTTTGTGTCATGTCAACTTATAGAATGTTTGGTTCTAAACAAAGCTGTCGAAAAGAGGAGGGGAAGAAATCATATATCCAGCATTTAACAATATCACATAATAGATCACATGAACAAAACAGAAAGTGCATTAACAAGGGAATTGATCAGTTGAGAATCAGTTATTGTCACTGCGTACAGATGGCAAAATTTTTTTTCCTTTGTTTTTTTTTAAAAAAAAAAAGAAAGTAAAAGTTGACTTGAGCTGCCCATATAAATGTCCCTCTCTTGACAGGGCTGGTATAAAACCCATCATTTTTCTCCCTTAGATAACTACTTGCAAGATAATAACGTAAGAGAAAGAAAAGGATACAAAAAAGTGAAACAAACATATTATGCAAACACATACAATAATCTGCCAAATCAAATGGGGAAGAGGACAATAGTCACCTGTATGTCAATTCAAAATGCAATTCTGGACCTTGTGAAAGAAGAAAGAGAGAGAATTGTGGGTGTTGGAAGGGGAGAAGATGGACATGGCCTTGTTTATATGAAGCGGGGCTGGTTAACAGCCACCTTACTACTTGACAAAAGGGTTAGACGGAGTTTCCGCGCCGCGGGGGGGGGGGGGGGGGGGGGTTTTTACTACTGAAGCGGGGCTGGTTAACAAGCCACCCTTACTACTTGACAAAAGTTAGACCGGAGTTCCGCGCCGCGGGGGGGGGGGGGGGGGGGGGGGGGGGGGGGGGGGGGGGGAGGAGATGGGAAGAAAAGACAAAAAAATACAAGTAAAGACAAATATATGAAAAGTACTGATAAAGACAACATCTTCAATCAAGGAGCTAGTTATGCAGAAGAACTCAGGCAAAATAAGGCAGCAACACCTGATAAAGACTAGCAAGTGCAGAATTTACTTCTAGCAAGCACGAAGAGTAACAAAGAAAGGCAATGGCTTACTCAAAGATTTGATCTCAGGACTTAGCTTTTTTTATTTTTTCCTTCGTTCGTCAGTTAGTATAATTTGCAATTCTCCTTTTTACATTCTCGTCGTCAAAAGTATGAAGCAGAGCGAAAAAAAGGCAAGGTGTGAACAGATGTTTGCTCTCAGGACTCACTTTCTTTCCAACTATAATAAAATAAATGTTGGAACCCTCCTTTTTTTTCCTTCAAATTCTCATCTTCAATTTTGGAGTTCCCTACACAATTCTATTGCCAAAGGCTTCTTAAGTTTTTTTTTTTTTTTTTTTTTTTTTTTTTTTTTTTTTTTTTTTTTTTTTTTTTCAAACTTAAGGGATTTTCTAAATCCATATTATAACTTTGGAGTTTTAACTCCATCTCCTTTAGGTTTATATTTCTTTAACTCTTTAAATCTTGAGTTTCTAACTCATGTCCAATTCATGAAGTTTTCAACTTATCAAATTCATGGAGTTCCTAACTCCACCTTTATATTTATTTACAATAACTAAAAGTCAATTTCTTTTGAAGAAATAAATACACCTCAAAATAGTTGATTAATTGAACTTGTTAAATGATTTAACTTAGTTTAATTAATAAGCAAATTAAAGCCTAAATAAGTTGATTAAAATAAGATTGAAACTTTCATTCATTTGATTAAATAAGTCAATTAAAATGAAAGGAAGCTTCAAAACTAACTCTAGTTTATGTCTAATTTAAAACCAAAGATTTGTACATCCATGAAGTATTGAATTTCAACCAATGGAACTTTAGTCAAAAGAAAATAAAATCTAAAACCAAATGAACTAAATTAAAGTCAAAAATAAAAATGAAGAACCACTATCGTTTGATACAAAAAGTGGATATCTGGACTTATCTTTTTTTTTTTTTTTTTTTATTTTTTTTTTTTTTTTTGAACCTGAAAGTCATGCCAATTTGTTCTATTAATCTAAAAAGTTAATAAGATGGCAAATTAATTTTTTTTTTTTTTTTTTTTTGACCTGAAGTCATGCCAATTGTTCTATTAATCTAAAAAGTTAATAAATGGCAAATTAAAATTCTTTTGGATTATGAATGCCTTGACTCCAGTAAAAAGGCAGCTTGACTGTCCCCCCAAAAGCAGCTCCAATTCTAAAATCAACCTAAAATTTTAAAAAAAAAAACACTTAAAATCATAATAGCTATAGGTAGAACCAAAGTGCTTCTCTTTGAATCAAATGATTGCAATTAAGGTGATACAGTTATGAATGGGACCTACCTACGATAATAAAAAAGCTTCAATTAGTATCATATACACGTCATTACATTTAGTTTGGTTACTGTCACTTTGGATAATTTAATTTGTAATTTTTGGTGAAAAAGATACATAATGGAAAAGTAGAACTAACCCCAACCAATGTTTAATATTTGGCATGATAAACCAAGGCCAAAAAGTTTTGCAACTTTATGTGGCATGAAAATAAGGGAAAGTATGAAGCTCTAATCATGAAACACTTGAGGCATTTTTCTGCACCATTAAGGAGCAAATAATAAGACCATGAGTAGATCCATAAGAACAAGTCTCTTTACTAAAAAGACTTCAGACATAGAAAATTATGGGGAACAATGCCACCTAACATAAGAACACATTTGGAAGCATTTTGATAAATATTAGTTCAAGCTCTTGAGTTTTACCACATATGTAATAGAAGCTAAGTTCACTATCAAAGCCCCAAGCATGGCGAAGCCAGGATTGCTGGTAACTATCAATTAAATACACCAAATATGCAAGAGAAGCAATTACCTGGACACAAAGAACATAAAGATATAACAATAAATTTTCTGAACATGAGGAACAAATGAAAATAAGTATAGCAAACACATTAAAATTTAAAAGAATTGATGTTAGGAAACTGATAACCTACAAGCTGAACAGCCAGAAAAATAAATGCAATATCTCTAGTCACAAAGAATCGAAATTTCAAAGTCCGCCATTTCCTATCAGCAGCAACATGAACTCTCAAATGGTAAGGGGCCTTGCAGGTTGTGCAATGAGCAAATGCAAACCCTTCCTGCAAACATAAGAAAGAAATTACTGCAACAATTGCAAAAGATCAAGATATTATAACTTCACCAAAAAAGTGAATGGGCATGCATGTCCAATTAACTTATTAGATTGGCTAAAACAGTAAAAACACAGCTTATGGTAAAAGATCAACTTTTTCTTCATCAGCCATCAGTAGTTTATGAAACTCGAAATGAAAACTAAAGGAGGTGAATGGCTACAAGTAAGATGAGATACTGCTGTAAATATGTACAAAACAATCTATATCAGCCTCCAGATAGCCAAGTTTAAAATCATTTATGCAATAACACATCAATTCAGCCATGAGAAGGGGACAACAAAGTGTGTCCATATCAAATATGAATAAGGTCTCCATTAAGCCAAGTTAAGACTGCTAAAGCATCACATTAATCAATAAATAAGAACTAATGCATTTTACATGAACATAATGTATGTTGCACAGAAAAAATAATGGATGCAACAGTGAAGTGCACAAACACGTGACATTGTATCATTTCAATGAAGTGCCTCTTACAAATATGCAAACCTACTTCAAGTACTACCAAAGGAGATATACTGAAAAGAAAACTTAATAATTTTACAGCATAGACCCACATGAACAAGCTCGAGGGCATGTTTAACTTTGATCAACACCACTGATTATTCATTGGCCTCTCAGAAAGGCTTCAGTGGGATCACAAGAGACTTAGGTCACAAAATGCAGTTGCATGGAATGCAAGCAATAGTGGATGATCTGTAACAGATACACCTATATCACTAAGCTCACACAAGCAATGATTTTACTAAATTAGGAGTCAGGATAGAGAAATGAAGATGGCGATCATACCCTCACAGCTCTCCAATGGTCCAAACATTCCCGATGTACATACTTTGATGTTCCCTTGCATTTGCATGGTGCGATAAAATCTCTACCTAAGGGAGGAAAAGGTATGAAATAAACCCGATCAGCCTGAAATATTCAAGTGAACTCCAGAGTCCAAAACGTATTAATAGAGCATGTAAAACAAAAGCTACAAAAAAAAATGCAGGTATTCTTAAGATCAAATCATTTCATCAAAGCTCAGATGCTGGAAAAAAAGTTATCTTAGTTACCAAAATCTTAAATATTGAACAAAAACAAAATCGACAAAAATCATAATTAATGACAAATTTGTACGCTTTCCAAAAAAAAAAAAAAAAAAATCGACAAAAATCAATAATTAATGACAAATTTTGTAACGCTTTCCAAAAAAAAAAAAAAAAAAGCCTCCAAAAGAAAACTGACAATCAATAACTGGCAAAAGGATTTGAGACTACAAGTGATATGATTTTCACCCCAATTTCCAACTGTTGTCGCCGTCAGTGGTTTAAGATAAACATCAAAAAAAAAAAAAAAAAAAGCCTCCAAAAGAAAACTGACAATCATAACGGCAAAAGGATTGAGACTCAAGTGATATTATTTCACCCAATTTTCCACTGTTGTCGCCGTCAGTGGTTTAAGATAAACATCATTACGGCAATAATAATAACAACAACAACAATACTAAAGACAGTAATACCAAAAATGAAAAATGACAGCCTAAACAACAGTCTCACCAATCTAGAATGCTGAAATATTTCCAAATTTCTATAATCCAGAGACCAGGAAAAGAGAGGAAACAAGTTTCAAACTTTTTCAACTTTCCGATTAACCAAACAGAAAATTAGTAACAATAGAAGAACGAAATATAAATTTGTGCAACCTAAGCGAGCAAATTTTAGGGGGTGAGAAGCAATATTAACAAAATACCGTCGGTTTCGAGGCAAATTCGGCACTGAATTTGCTCGCCGGGGCCAGCCTCGAGGTCGATCTCGCTAGGCTCGGCGATCGGAGGAGGAGGGATAAGGGGGGAAGAGTCTGCGTCATCAGCCATTGGAAATTGATCCAAAGAGACAGATGACAAGTTATTGAGAAATTATGGATTTCATGGATTTCCAAACTCTGTGTTAGTGAGTTTGGAGAGCAGGAGAGGTATGTAGGTCTACTCTCTGACCTTTGCTAGCGGTTTTGTTTGCAGAATGAAGAAATTAGAAATAGAAGCAAAAGTGAAGTTTGTTGTTTACCTCACATGTCTTCATCTTTCGACTTTTTTACTGTTATATCCTTTCACCTAAATAATTTGTAATTTATTTTTCTCTCCACCTATAAATAAATAAATAAATAATTTATTAACTTTCTATGAAACTGAAATCATGAAATGTATCTTTTATGATACACAGGAGATTTTACAATAAGAAAGATGTCAGAGTAATATATGGAGTTCTTCAATTTGTTCAGAATTAAATTACAATTTTTGTTTGAGGAAATTAAATTACAAATTTTAATCAAAATATCATTTCATCAATTGGATAAATTAAAATTTCCCACATTTATTTCATATTGTCAATATTATCAATTGGAAAAAGATATTAATTTATTTTATATTACTTGTAAATAATAGAGGACAAAGGTCGCCAACTGTAACTTTCCATTGAGAATCAGATAACCGTAACTTATACAATACCTTCCGCTTAATACCCACACCTTATCCTTCTCTCTCTTCGGTCTATCTCAGTTGTCTCCAATGGCGAAAACCCAAAAACCCAAGAAAATAAAACTGGTAAAAGTATCTGATGCTAATTCCAAACAAAACCCCCTTCAAAAACCCAATTTAAAGAAACGTAAGAGTGAAACCTTCGCCTCATCACCTGCTGCCGCCGCCACCGCCAGCAGCTGTCCTCCCAAAAATACTCAAACAGATTCTGATTCAGATTCCGACTCTAGTTCAAATTCCCATTTTGATTCCGACCCCGTTGATATCCCAACCCTCCTTGAACCCTACACCAAAGAACAGCTTATCGAACTCATATCTATAGCTGCTACAAATAACCCCTCTATTTATCCCCTAATTAATGAACATGCTGACCGGGATGCCTCCCACCGGAAAATCTTCGTCCATGGATTTACTTGGGACACCACGCGTGAAAACGTTCTCTCTGCATTTGAACCCTTTGGTGAAATCGAGGAGTGTAATGTTGTAACGGATAAAGTCACTGGAAAAGCTAAAGGGTACGGTTTCGTCTTGTTCAAGACGAGAAAGGGAGCAGCTATGGCCTTAAAAGATCCAAAGAAGAATATAAATAATCGGTTTGCAAGCTGTCAGTTGGCATCTATTGGTCCAGCGGCTAACGTAGGTAAAGATCAGGAAGTTGGAGCTAGGAAGATATATGTGAGCAATGTGCAAGTGAATGCTGATAAAGAAAAGTTGAAAGCTTTCTTAGCTAAATTTGGAGAAATTGAGTCTGGGCCAATAGGATTTGATAAAGAAACGGGAAGGTCAAGAGGGTATGCTTTGTTTGTTTATAAAACGGTAGAGGGAGCTAAAAGGGCATTAGAGGAGCCTCACAAAATGTTTGAGGGTCAGCAGTTGCATTGCTCTATAGCTACGGAAGGGAAGAACAAGACTAATCAGGTGCAAATGCAGCAACAACAGCAGGTGAAGCAGCAATCACAAGATCAGATGTTGGCAGCAGTAGCAGCAGCACAGAATTTGGCATTGTTTGGACAGCAACCTGGGATTAATCCAGTGTATGGTGGGTTGTTGAGTAATCCGGCTGCTGCTGCTCCTGCTGGCATGATTAATCCATTGATGGTTGGTGCAGTGAGCCAAAGTCTTGTGCCAACAAGTCAAATAGGTGGGCTGGGACTTGCAACTCAGTCAGTGCTTGGGACTTATGGGGCAGGAAGGGGATTGCAACATGTTTACTCAAACACACAGACAGGACAGGGTGGGGTGGGTAGGGGTCAGGGACTTGGCAGTTCATTTGCCGGATATCCACCATATATGTGGTATGATTTACTTAAGCCAGGTTTATATAATTTTATTTATTTGTTTAATTCTATGACCTTATTTTTTTATGCATGCGTAATTTTAGTTTTTTTGGTACATTGTGAAAATTATTGCTTTTGTAGATTTGGAACAACTAAAATTTGGTACAGGTCATGGACTGTAATTGTGCATTCTTAGCTGAAAATTATGCATGCACATTTTAGCATATGATATGGAATAGGACAAATTCACTTAAATTTCACTTTGTGCAAAGATTGAGGTCAAAACTGTCTCATTTTCTGGACAGATTATATGTTATGCATTTTAATTAATTCTTGCTTGAATGCTTATTAATGAGGCTTTAATTATTAGATTCAAGTTTCTTTGTTTCTTTTTCACCACATTCATTCATTTCACATTCCTATATTTTATAAAGCTGAAGGTTTGCATATTTTCACTCACGCTTCTTCTTGTCCCTTGCAAAGTTACAATGTTTGCTGATGTAACTGTTTGAGGTAGGAGCGAGAGAAAACAAAAACAAAAAGATAGTAGTAAGGCTGAAAGCCTTTGAGTTCGTATTGCATTTACCTAGGATAGCAAATTCTAGTAAACTTTAGTCTCAGGATGAGAATGAGAATGAAAACTACTTATCCTAAATGATAATCTTGAACCCACTGAGTATTTGTTATTAACAAGATATCTGTGGTCTGCAAAATAGCTGGACTGAATATATAAACTGCTGCTTAATATTATAGTACATGTGTCCTTATTAAACCTTATCTTTTTTGTACTCTCATTTCCTTTACATACCTGCATCCAAATCTCCATATGGGACACCATTCACATACATAACTCTTTCATTTCTCTTATTCTTTCTTTCTCCTTTGTAAAAACTAGCGCATTTTGGTTTTAACAATCTCCTTTATCTTCATTTTGATGGACTTCTCCTTTTCCTGTAATTCGTTACCTAGCATTTTCTCTTCTCATGTCATCATTTCACTCCTGGAAATTGCTGCTTTCGTAATTTTAAACACAAATTCTATCAAGGGCCATTGTATGCTATTCCCAAAATATTTTCACTCTAGCATTCATAATCAAAATTTATCTCATTTTACAGGTTTATTTTATTCAAGTGTTTCTAATTCTATTCATCACAAGGTTTTCAATTTTTCATCTCGTTAATTGCATGCAGATTTGGATCCCAAGCTTAAGACCAGTGCGGGTAGATGGCTTGTAATTGGTCAGTTTTAAACTATAGTTGTTTAACAAAAGGTTTGTTCATTGGATGGTAATCCATCCATGAAAAGCAAAGTTTCTGTTACAAGTTTTGACTAATGACCATTGGCTGGGTCAACACAAAGCAACTTCAGTTTCTCTTTTTTTTTTTTTTTTAAGTTTGACTAATGACCATTTGGCTGGGTGCAACACAAAGCAACTCAGTTTCTCTTTTTTTTTTTTTTTTGGGTGATCTGCTTCGCCAATTTTCTTTTCATTCTTTTTGTTGATGTTTTATTATATTAGTTTATATTCTCAATACTTTTACTTGCAAGTTTGCAATGTTTTTTAATAATTTTTTTTGGTTTGAGAAGGTCAATGATATTTTTTTTTCTTAACTCCCTTCTTTTTTTTTTTTTTTTGGGTGATCTGCTCGCCAATTTTCTTTTCATTCTTTTTGTTGATGTTTATTATATCTAGTTTTATATTCTCAATACTTTACTTGCAAGTTTGCATGTTTTTAATAATTTTTTTTGGTTTGAGAGGTCAATGATATTTTATTTTTCTTAACTCCCTTTAAATGCTTGGGCTCCATATTTGCAGATGATTTGCTGCAGAGCTTGAGGAATGATGTCCATGTACCTTTGGGGAATATTTACCTAGGAAGTTATTGTGGGCCAATTGCTAATAGAAATTTGCAGTTGGACTGAATTTCTCATAGTTTACAATCTTCTATAGCCAAGCTAAAGCAGAACTTGGCAAACCATTTCTCTTCTTCTTAACCTTCATCATTTCGTTCTTCCTTGTTTCCATCTTAGACCTGCTTGTTGTAAGATTTGACAACTTTGGTTTCCTTATGAAATTTTAATTTTATTGTTTATTGGCCCTTTTTGCCCATTGCTTCTGATTTCTTTTATTTACATTGAAATTTGGCCCTGTGATGTTTTTTTTCTTTTTGTTTTTTATACATTTGGCAATGCATACTCTAATGTTCATCATTAGCAGACAATTTGGATATGCTGGACAGACAGTATTTCTTTCATGTAGAACTTTCACTTATTCTACTTTTGTTATTTACTTCAAAGTCCAAACATATTCAGCATTGTTAGATTAGGTAATTTGTTTATACTAAAATCTTTCATCTAATATTTAGATAGCTATAGGCTTGTAATTAATATTTTCTTCTTTTCTTTTCTTTTTTTAAAATATTTTTTCCAAGTATCAATTTTAAGAATATAATTATCATGATTTGAAATATACAAAATTTTTATCTGTTGTATTCTATAGATATGCATCTTATGAGTGATTTGGAATTAAACTACTGGATAATTTGATAATTTGTCATGGGAGCACGAAGTTGAATCCGGTGACACAAAGTCGCTACTCAGAAAGCCCTCATTTTTGAAGGGCTTAATGACCAAAAAGAGTCCATGCCCTCTTTTTTTTTTTTTTGTCAATTTTGACCAAACTGCTAATTTTGTTATTTTTAGTCTAATTTGAAAAGTTAGTTGCAATTTTTAGCCAGTTAGGCAAATTTGATTATGTAATATTTTATTACTAAATTAGATTTTTGTAAAAATATCTGCTATTCTTTTACGTTTTAATTTCTCCTCCTTGTCTCCTTTCCCTTTCTTTTCTCCTTATAGCCATTTCAAGTTATATCTTCTCAGGTTCATCTTTGTTATTTGTATCATTGTATATTCCTCAGCTTCAATTTAAGTGATCCAAATTGTCAAAGTCTTGGATTGAATCTCCAGAGTCAGATCTTTGTGCCCTTGATTCTTCAATCGATATGCTCCACTCTTTGTCTTGCTCTTGTTATTTAGAATCAAACCTAGAACTCCCTTTATGTGCTCTTTAATCGGGTTATCTGGGTGCTATATTTATGAACTTGAGAAAGTTGACTTTGCTTATGGTTGACTTCTATTAATTGAGTGTCATTGATGGGGTTTAACTGAGTCTTTTTCTTGGTAATTCAATGATATGAAAGACAACTGGGTTTGATCAAGTGAATATTGTGGCGGATTATTGTTATTTCTTCTCAGTGATAATGGATTTGAACCATTTGAGGAGGAAAAAAGATGGAATAGAAATTTTGTTTTCAACTTTGAGTTTTCCAGGAATCAAAGTCTTGACAAAGCATTGCTGGCACTAGATGGGAGCAATGCTGGATAGGGAGAGAAAGAGGGACTAGGGGTGGGGATTTACTTTTGAAAACTATTTTTTATTTCAATTATGATCAACCTTTGAAGGTTTAATCAAAATTGAAAAGAAGCTCTGGGATTTTTTTTTTTATTTTATTTTGTTGTTAGGCATTTTATAAATATGGCTTACTTGTTTAAGGATTGGCTTAGCCATAGTTATTAAAGGTTAGCACGCAAGAGCTTGCACCTCAAAAATCCACAAGCCGCGACCTCACTGGGGCTATTGCCTTTGGGTAGAGGCACATGCCTTTTTTGCGGTTTTCTATTCCCACCCCCAAAAGCCCCAAAGAGTTAACTGTGGTTTTCTTTTCAATGTTGTCTAGCTAGCATCTCTTTACATAAGATAGATAATAAATAAAAAGAAATAGAATGCAACACAAGATCCAGTAATGTGCTCTGCAATCCAGCCCCCACTCCATCTAGTGCTCACCTCCTGCAATCCAGGCTCCAGCCAGCAGCCATTCAAATATGTTTCTCTTAATTTCTCTTACTATATTTGCATTTTTTTTTTCTTTTATTTTTACATGTTCTTAATTCTACTTTCTTCCCTTTTAACTCCATTTATCTTAAAATATAGACTGTTATTCTGCTGGTTTGTTTTTTCTGATTTATGCATGTTCTGTTTCCATGTTTTTCTGATTTTGTTTTTCTTTTTTTTTTTTCTCTGATATCTAAATATAATTTTCATGTTTATGTGTGTTTTATTTATTTATTTTATTTTTGCACCTCCTCGCTCAGGAAGCATGCACCTAGGCTGCCCTTTAATTACTGGTCTCATCTGTATTTGTACTAGACTTTTACTTGTTCTGGATCAGAATATCTAATTTAGTTAAAATTTAGGATTTCAAGGTCAAGCAAAAAATTGGTTTTACAGTGGGTAGAGAGTTGGATTTTAAGCTTGGATGCTTGTAAGTGCAATTTTATATCAACTACTATATTATTGTTCTGCCTTTCTTGGGTTGAGAAAATAGATTTTTACCCTTCTCTGTTGTCCTGGAAATTGCTGTTATTATTTTTTTGCCCTTCACATTTTTGCTTTTATGAATATGTGAATGCCAAAACATCAACTTGATCGAGCAATTATTTTTAGTTATAAGATGAGCTTGCTATTGCAAAATTAGAAAAACAATATGCAGGCTGTTTTTATTTTGTCTCTTCTCTGAGATGGTTAGCAAATGCTGTGAACTGAACTTCAATGGAAAATGATTCTTGTGCCTTGCCCATATTTTTGAGAATATTTTTTCTGGTTGGACGTCTATTCTCCAATGTTCTCCTTTTCTATTTATTTTTTATTTTCTTTTGATGTGCTTGTTTGCGTCCAATTTCATTTTGGATCAAATGAAATACATTCAAATGAAACCAAAATGAGCCAAACCGAACCGGTGGCCATGTCTGGTTAGTTTAATTGATAAGGAATAATATTTATTGTCCTTACCAACTGAATTATTTCAGGAATACTAAAAGTCACATATTTTAAAATTCATTTAATATGTTGGATCACGTCAAAAACGGAGGCAAGTAATATAATATTAACAAACTCAGACCGCAATCTGAAATTATAATAACCTGTTTGTAATTTAGGGAAATTGTAATACTATAAACAAAATTTAGGGAAATTGTAATTTAGGATCAGAATAACCTGTTTTATTATTGCATTTTGTTCTAAATACAGTGAAACAAAACATTTATTTTTTCAGAATCAAATAAAGCCTTAAAAATTTTCCTACAGTGTTATTAAACCCAGCTTGAACATTGATTCGGCTAAAGAATGGGATAGCTGGATCATTGGTTCAATTAATATGTAATAAAAATATTAATAATATATATTAATTAAATAATAATAATAATAATAAAATAAATATAATATCAAAATATTAATAATATAATATCATTGGATCATTGGTTTAACTATAGGTAAATCGATTCAATTGGATCTCTTCTTTAAATAGTTCAAAAATAAAATCAGTCTTGGTTTTAAAATCAGTACTCTTTTCATCTGCAGTAAAATTATGGATTCCTTCATATACTTGCTTATTCTTGCATTTATTTTCTAAAACAATAAACATTTTATTAAATGCAGTTTTAGGTAAAAAAAAAGGAACTAAGAATGAAACAAATGGGCACTAAATAAATCAGCTCTAACAAAACAAGGAAAGGAAATTGCTGATGAATTCTACAAGTAAGCTTTGATTAAATGTTGCTAAGATAATCACCACATCTTCTCGAATTGATCATTTCCCGCAGCTCACAGTTCTACAGTACTCTAATCATGCAAACGAAAATAAAATAATTATGCATAACATGTTTGTCCTAAGAAGGCTACCTCATAATCTAAGTAGTTCCATAAAAAGTTAGAGAACAAGTCACAGGAAATAACGTATTTGAGGAGCCTCTACTATTTTGTCTATCTCACTTCTTCCTCTTCTTTGGGGGCTGGAGGGCTTCCTCGTCTTCATCCTCCTCATCTTCATTCTCTACCTCCTCAACTTCCTCCTCATCTTCTTCCCCACCATCGTCGTCGTCGTCATCATCATCGTCGTCATCGTCATCATCTTGATCCTCACCATCTTCTTCATCATCATCATCCTCTTCCTCTTCTCCATTCTCTTCTGCTCCACCCCCAGGACCCTTTTTAGAATTGCTCTTGTTGTTGTTAGGGTTGTTGCCGTTGTCTCCTCCATCTTCAGATGATATTTCCTCTTCGCCTTCTCCAAATCCACCATCTCCATCGTCGTCGTCATCCCCATCGTCTTCATCGCCATCATCTCCACCTGCATCAACTGGCTTGATCTGCCTGTTTGTGTTATCTCCTTTCATCCTGGGTTTGTTAGTCAGCAATGAACCAATAGGGTCCTGAAAACCAAATTTAAGAAGTACATTCCGCAGCAGGTCAAAGCAAAGTGTTAGGCAATACCAATTACACAAAGCAATTAAGCATAGTTTTTAAAAATTAGCCATATAAAGAAGACAAATGGTGTTTATTCCCTGTTAACCATAATCTATCTCACAAAATTAGACGACCCAAGCGAAACTTAATACTTCTCCCCACCCCTCCTGAGTTGAGATCACCAAAAATTATAGTCAGTGATATCATTTTAAATTGATTCCCATTTTCATCCATAAAAACTTTCTTTAAAAAAAAAAACACACATCACCGTTCTTTCGGCCTTAGTTTATCATCATTTAACATGTGTAAAAACTGGTTAAAGGATCATTTTCACTGCTGCCTATAATAGTTCAGGACATTTGATTCTTGTTTAGTCCATCTCACAAAAGCTTTACCAGTGTGTATGCGAAGTTTGTAATTTCATGGGAAAAATACTCCATCAGATTAATAGAATTTACATAAAAGTGCAGAAATAAATGAGAGCATTTGGGAATTGGGGGCAAAAACTATCTTATTTAAAGAGAGTCAAAAAACCAAGAGCTGAATGCCTTATATGACCATAAACTATATTATTTCAGGGGAAGAATAGCCAGCATAGATTCTCTTTAAAAAAAGAAGTGGGGTGACATTGCCTCTATGCCAGTAGAATATGCTGCCCCCACGATAAGGAAAAGTAAATAATTTGATAAATGAATTATGTCATTCAACTTTCATCATCAGAGGCATCTTTTCTTTTCGCCCACTTTTTCCAATTAGAAACTAGATGCAATCTTGCAGAAATTAAGCTTATCATCCTTGTAGCATCCTAAATTTACATAATCTATTCCTTGAGCTTGAATCCTTGAATAAATTGTACAAAAGAAATACTCATCCAAATCCCATATATACATATATAATCACCATGATTGAACAGTCTAATATAATATATCCAAAATTTAAAATTTCATTTTCCCCTTTCTGTTACTACGAATTTTTCTCTCAAATAAAACAAAAAAGGAAAAAAAAAAAAAAAAAAAGAATCCCTTGAATAATTGTAACAAAAAGAAATACTCATCATCCCATATATACATATACTAATCACCCATGATTGAACAGTCTAATATAATATATCAAAATTTAAAATTTCCATTTTCCCCATTTCTGTTACTTACGAAATTTTTCTCTCAAAATAAAACAAAAAAAGGAAAAAAAAAAAAAAAAAAAGATATGCTATAAAGTCGACCAAATTTCCCACCGCAAATAAAATAAGCAAGAAGAGGACAACCCATGAACAAGAACATAGACCCAAAGAAAAATTAAATAAAAAAATTTGCATAAAAAAAAAAAAAAAAAAAAGATTATGCTATAAAGTCGACCAAATTTCCCACCGCAAATAAAAATAATTGCAGAAGAGGACAACCCATGAACAAGAAATAGACCAAAAAAATTAAATTAAAAAAATTTGCATATAGTATTACAAAATTAAACCATGAGGAGCAACATGTATTTATTTTTTTTGGAAAACAACAAATCATCGAATTACACGTGTCAATAAGACAGACTATGAGATGTAGAGCATCGTCAAAAGAATATTCCAAACCATGCCTTGTTATAAAACAATATCTATGTTTCTCTTCCGTTTGACTGATCTGACCTGTCCTACTATAATTAGTAGTTAATTACAAACTGGCAAAAAAAAAAAAAAGATAATATATTATATTTCAATCGGCCACACGTGTAAGAAACCTAGTCTCAAACTGCATCATAAACTATGGTTAAACATTCTCTTCCAAATGCAGACTGCTTCAACCCCACTGCGCACTTTAGCGCAACCCAACCTAGACATGACTAACTCGGATCAAAAAATGAGGGAAAAAAACTGGGCGATTGGCGCACGTTAAACGTACGGAAAAGACAAGGAAAAAATAAAAAAGCCAATCCCAAAAGTCATACAGCGCAAGCTAACAATATATGATTGCGCATATTAGCAGAAAATAGAAAGTTGAAGCAGGTAACGATACATGTAACATAAGGCCGTACCAACAATCGACCGTCCGAGAAGAAATTGAAAATATTAAATTTAAAGAAAAAATAAGGAAAATAAGCATGTTAGAAGATTTATCAGAAGAAAAGGCACACTTTAACTTACCTGGGCTAAAAGCTGAGCTTTGAGCAGGGCCGAAACTAGCAAACTTGCTACAGCATCCCCGGCGTACGTTAGCACACCGTTACCTAGCGTAACGGTCACTGAGCTGTAGTTAGCCTCCATTTGCGTGCTTTGAAAAAGGAAAACAAATAATAGAGACCTGCAAAAACATGACAATGAACTGATGACCATTAGATCTAATTAAAAATCTAATTGAGCCGTCAGATCTCACACCATAAAATTGAAATAATTTAAAAAAAATGCTTCTCCAACAGTGGTAAAAGTTCGAATAGAGAAATAATAAGGATTTTTTTATTTTTAGAAAAATAATAATACTGAAAAGATGTACTTTTCAAGAGAATAAAGACAAGAAAGCACTTTCAGTGAAGGAAAAACTCGCCGGAGAAGATTTTAACGGTGTACTTGGAAGATATTAGTCAAAATTCAACCGAAAATTGAAGATTTTGACATAATAATTGCACCGAAACAAGTAAAAGCTTAACCGAAACGATTAAAATCTTTCAAAACGTTGATTTCATAGCAGAAATGGAAATTCCTAATCTTTTATAACTAAATTTTTGGAAAATAAACGAAAATTTTCGTTGAGAAAGAACGAAAAGAGGAAATTAAAGCAAAACGAGCCTAAAAATCATCAGAGATAGACATAAAACTCTCGGAATCGTTAGTAAAGAAGAAATTCACAGCATAAAGTGGTTAATAATCCAAAAAGTCGAAAAGAATCTCGAATTGAAGAAACTAAAACAAGAGATCACTACAAACTGGCAATTCGAAGAAAAATAAAGCTAATCATGAAGCGAAACCTTACCAGAAATCAAGATCTGAGCAGAACTATAGCAGATCTGGAGGTTTGAAGCTCTAAAACCTCGAGAAATAAGCGTGGGATGCTCCGTTCATTTTGCACCGTTCGATCGTGATCGTAGAGACACAGAGACACCAAGTTATAGAAAAAAATATCTCAAAGAGAAGGGGAGAGAGAGACAGAGTACTGGTGTGGGTGACTGACTGACTGACTGACCGTAATTTCTCAGTCAGGTATCGGGCAGGACGGGCAGGGTCCTTCTCAGTATAAAAAGAACGTGGGCTTGGGCTGCCCGGAGTAAGAGTAACGACAAGTTTTGGGTTTTTGATTTGTTTAATTGTCTTTTTATTGATGATAAATAATGATTATCTTGATTTATTAATTATTTTAATAACCACTCTCACCGTGTCTATCTTTCCTTTTAATTTATTGAGCCAACGCTTTTGGTTTAAGTCTCTCTCTCTCTCTCTGTCGTGTTTTGTACTCTATTGCCAATTAACCATGGTCCTAACCGCGGAATCTGGTTTAACTCGGGTTATCTAACTCCAACTCATTAACTCACTTCCACCTCATCCATTTTGTTACTCTTGGCGTTAGCTTACTCTACTTAACATTAACTAAAAGTTTAACTTTATTTTAAGATTTTTTTTTTTTTGAAAATATAATTTATTAATAATAATATTAAAAACTACAAAAAAAAAACTCATATAAATAAGATATAGAACTTTACTATTAGTAGCTAACAGAGTTTGCTAATCTTTTAACAGACAAAAAAATTCATATTTTTTTAACAATAAAATTAAAATTAAAAAATATAATATTCAATCTTCTCGTTTGAATTGTTCTTAACAAAAGATATAAATCTTCATAGTATTACCTAATTCGTTAAGTGATTTGAACGATAAAATAATAACTCTTCTGGATCTTCTATACCTGGATTATTTTTTAAAGAATTTGAAACATATAATGAATACAGATGAGTTTAAGCCACTATGCTGCAATAGCATCAATGGAGAAACAGACCACACTATCAAACTCCATTGATCAAATATCCATACTTGTAAATCAAGATCTAAAGTATTGTATTAGTATTTTATTAAAATTAAATGATGCATATTAAACTATTATTAAAATCAATTAAAATATAATTATTTAACCAATAATCAAGGTAATTGGCTAATGTATAAATGAAAGTTTAAAAGTTAATATTTTAATTTTGCAATATATCAAGATTTAATTAATAGTAATACAGTGCTTCCTCCATTTTCAATTTAGCCTTTCTCAATACATATTTTTATATAATTAATTAGAAAAATGGATTCGAACCTGAATCTATTATCAGATTGCAATGCAGTTACTACTAGACTATATCTTGTTATGTAATTTGAACAATTAATTAATCTTGATTGATGCAAAAAGTAAATAATATCTCATATTAAACTAAGGGTATAATAGGAAAAATACTTGCAAATTTATATTTTTAATTAAAATAATTAATTTTCTTAATTCTTGTGAAATGGTAAGTGCATCTGTCAACTGGGGATAGAGGGAGTAATTTAACTAATATATTTATTGACAAAAAGCATATTAAATAAATGAAAAATATCAAACTTTAAATATCGTTCACTTCTAAAAAAAAGGAAATAAAATAATAATTTGCAACAAATATAAAAATAAAGTAAGATAAGAATTTTAAGACAGAGAGGGTAATTTAATTAGAGTAGACTTATCCGAATTATAAAAATATTATTTGTAATTTATAACATTGTTAGTTATTTTCAAATAAATAAAAATAATTTAAAAAGTAAAATACAACCTGTCCTAGAAAAAAATAGTGAGAGAGTATAAATTTTATTTATCATCCCAATTTGCGTGGCAATAAATTATTCACATGTTGCGTGTGCACTTGTCCGCTCAAGTTGGTTATCTTAATTAGGAGTGTGGACTATTTTGATTTAATTGTAATTGAATAATGGAATTAAATAGATAAAATATAGTCACTTTGACAAGAAAACTTTGATTTTTGTTTGTTTGTTGATTTACAATTTTTTTTTTATTATTTCCAATTTGCTTATCTCAAAAATGTTAATTGAAATAACTAGATTTTATTTTTATTATTTAGATTGTAATTTTAACAATAATCGATGCAAAATTTTTGATTGTATGTAATTTTCAATAATTTTATAAAAATTTTAAATAAATAGCTGATAAAGTCTCATGAGTTGCTAAAAGCATCTCCAATGCTAACGTAGATTGTGGTTTATGTGTCATATAAAATAGAAGATATAAATAGTTATGTGATTAAATGTTCTATTTATAGATGTTGCATTTCAAATTATCTGTAATGCACTACTTGCAAATCCCCTTGCATATCCTCTTTCTTCTTCATTTTTCTGGGTCCATAATTTAATATACAGCCAATCACTATAGAGCAATAAATGACACATTGTCTAAGAGACCCTCCAGGAATAGGAAGTGTGATCGATCATGTGTATTTATTTTTTTTTAACACATCAATTTGGCATACCAAATAAACATTAGCATTGGAAAATATTTTTACAAAAAACTTTGCATTTTTTTATGTGACAATTAAAAAAAAAAAAAAAAAAAAACGATTCACATTAGCATTGGAGATACTCAACTAAAAATATCATTAACTGGTATTTTTTTTTATCAATTTTTGCTAGTTAATTTATATTTATATCATGTTTAGGCTTTATTGACTTTATAAAAATAATTAGTAAAAATTATTTTTTAAAATTAATATTTTAAATTCATATTATACATACATTACTAAAATTTTATCACACGACAAACATTTGTCAACAAACAGCTTTCTAACATTAACCAATCTATTTGCAATTGTTATGGATTGCACAACAAGAAGCTAAATTAAATATGTCCTTAATAAAATAAAATACAAAGTCTTACCTCTTCTTTAGAATAAATAAATTCACAAAATTTCGTGAAATCTATTTATAAATCCATATTATTATGTTGAAATGAAAAAAAATATAGCTTTTAATTCTAGAAACTCAATTACATGAAATTAAATATAACTACAACAAATTCCACAAATCATAAAAATAGGTGGAATTTCCAAATGAACTATACAAAATTAAGCGACCTAACTTTTTATGGTACATCTACTCTTCTCCATTTATAAAGTCAAATTTTCAATTTTTTTACTTATTTATTTATCAAACTTGACCAAAACCATTTAAAAATTTTATTTTTTAGAAAAATATTTTCTTATTATTGTCTTTTTTATTTTAATATTTTCATCTCTTATTTTAATTTTTTTAGCATTTTTTTACTATCGAGGAGAGAGATTCAAGTTAAATATACATTTATCACTAAATTAACTGAAATATTTTTATTTTATATATTTATTTTAATTAACATATAAAAAATTATATAGCACAACATAAATATAAATTAGTATTTATTATTTATTTTTGTGAAATTACTATTTTAAGATATTTTAGGAAATAAAAGCAAATAAAATTTCAATTATAAATTTATTTCATATATGATCAATTAGAATTCAATTGAATTACATATTTTAAATTAATCATACCAAACATGATTCATTTACAAATGAATTCTACTATAATTCAGTTATAAATGAATTTCATATTTTTAATTCATTTATACCAAACGGAGTGTTATAGTCACCATAACAATCTCAACCAACCATGTTAATCCATATACAGATTTAATTTTATTTTTCAACTTAAAACATTTTATACTAATAATGCTATCATAATATTATAGATAATTATCAAATCAAATGTACTTAATAATTTACTAACTAGAATATTAAATTAATGAACTGTAATAAAATATAATTAAAAATTTAATTATACTACTATTTCTGTTTCCAAATATTTATTACATTTAAGAAAGTATTATATTATCAAATACTTATCACGTTTGTGGATTTTATAAATAATAAATTATTTTTCTGTGTTACCAGTTGTATATGAGCAATAGTGATTGAATGATTTTCACTCAAATAATTTATTGTAATTTAAATAAAGTGAAAGATTTTTTTAAGAAATATGAAATACTCAAATGTGACAAGTATTTGGAAATGGAGGGAGTATATGTTAATCAAAATTTTATTACGACTCACCCAATAAAAGATAGTGTTATTTCATACTCTATCAGTCTTAAAATAAAAATCGTTTAAGGTTTTTACACTAATAAAAAATAATTAATTCTCTTAAATTATAATAAAATTAATGATAATTTGATCAAATGATCATTTGTCTCAAAATTAAGAGTAACTTGTGAAAATAGTTATTATACCTAATGTAAATAAGGGTAACATTAAAAAAATATCATTTATTATTTCATAAAATATTCAAAACGATCTATATTTTATAATAAAATAAGCACTCGTAAAACAATTTATATTTTGTGAACGCAGTAATAGTCAACTCAATGAATGGTAGAATCAGTCTAACCTTCTATAATTGAATCTTCAAGTTTTGGAAATTGGATGAACTTCATTGATATCTTCAAAAATCAAAATTCCATTTATTTATTAGTACTCGTAGAATGAAGGAAAGAAATGTTTAAACTGGTAAATAGTAGTAATTATTTTAGTAAAATGGTCGGTTGTTGAAAATTGAGAGGCAGTTGAGGATCATAACCCAAATAATTGGACAACACTCAAGAGGTACTATATATCAAAAATCAAAAAATTCCATTTATTTATAGTACTCGTAGAATGAAGGAAAGAAATGTTTAAAACGGTAAATAGTAAGTAATTATTTTAGTAAAATGGTCGGTTGGTTGAAAATTGGAAGGCAGTTGAGGGATCATAACCCAAATAATTTGGACAACACTCAAAGAAGGTTACTATATATATATATATTATATATATATATATATATATATGATATATATATATATATATTATATAATGTTATAAATAATAGAAATAGTATTTTAATTAAAATACTCGGGAGAGAGTGCTTTGCTACACCCCTAATTTCCATACATGTCCTCCCTTACAGGTAGTGGATCCATAAATATTTTTTTTAGGATCAATATATAATTTTTTTACAAAAAGAGGCGTAAAAATATAAATAAGTTGAATTTTATTGATTAATTTAGACAAATATATATATACTAGAAAATTCTAAAAAAAAAAAAAAGAAGACATCTCTTTTTATTAAGTGGATCCGTTACTGCTTTATAAGTCTGCTCAGTGCGAATCTAGATTAATCGGACCAGTAGACTTAGAACACCGGATAGTTATAGTTAAAAAAAAAAAAAAAACAATTATCCAACAAAACTTAAGAAATAATTAAAAATATTAAAAACACTTTGAATAAGTCAATGTGGAGAATTATGTTTTTAAAAATCGTTGAATAAAAGAATTTGTTATTATTATAAACAATAATGTTAATCAATGGAAAGG